CACAGACATTATATATATATATATACAAATTATTTTTTTTTTAAATGGCCTGACAAATCATTAAAGACTAAATTTATAAAGGTGAATTTAGTTCAATGTGAGATTGGGTAGACTGCATAAGAATATGTTCATTAACAGTTGCCCTTAAATTATAAGATTGTTTCTCACGTTTTAACTTAGCTAATTTCATAAGAATATCTAAGACAGGTTCTGCAAACTGGTAATGTTAACACATTTTTTTAATAAAAGTTATTGATAGGGTCTTTGGGATCAGACCACAAAGATAATGTTGGGGGACACACAAAGACTGATAACAGGGCAAATATATAGCAAAGTTGAGGCACAGGAAACATGACATGATGGCCTCCCTCGCCATCATTTAAATTAACCAACTCAGAGATTAACATCTGTGTGGTGAATATTTCTTTCAAGTTATATAGACATAAAACAAAACCAATTATCACCAAATCCTGGTTATGATATCTGATCATTTCAAACTGTACAAATACAAGAATAAAACTGCAAATTCATTTCTGTGAATACAATCATTCAAAGAAAGTAGCCCTGCCCCCTCCCCATCCCTGGAATTATAGGTTTCAAATTAAGTGTTTCTACAGAAAGTTCGTTTTGAAGTAAAAATGCTAAAAGTGTCAACATATAAATTGTCTAACCACATCACTTTCTGTTCACAATGACCAATGTAGGAAATAAATACACAATACTAAGCATTTATTTTTATGTCAGTGTGTATCAAAGAGACACAAATGGATAAACGTGTGTCAGTGGCGTAGTGAGACATAGTGTGGACTTTGAATTTGCAAAAGTAGGGGCTTGGGTGAGTAGTGCTCACTGAGCCCCTCCTCAAAAAAAATTCAAATGAAAGGATTAATCTTAGCGCATTTCTGAATCAAGTATTGCGCTAACCTACACAGATTTATACCATGATTTCTTTCTAATACTAAAAGTTACTAAATAGTAATATTTAATATTTATATGAATCATAAAACTAATTTGTATAAACTTTTGACACAAAAAATAATTTAATACATATATAAACCTATTGCTGCCCATTGTTGTCTAGTTAAGTTTTGGCACTGGTTTATTCTAGGATCTGGTCTGAATAGCTAAAGAAGCATTTGGTCAATTGTGCAAAATTGCAAGCCTTGAAGGGGTATTTAGTCCAGATTTTAATTTGTCATTGTTCCACATGTTCAATCCCTTTAGCCAACGTGCCTGGGTGTGCTAAAAGCACTATCTCTTGACAATGAAGAGACAGCCATGTGTCCCCATGTTGACTGTACATATTGCCTTAAACGCCTTAATCCGACTAGCAATCATAACAAGGAAGAATTATTGCTCAAACATATGATTATGTTCAAAGTCATAATCGCAGTGGTGGATTTACCATATAAGAAAATGAAACCATTTCTTTTCAATAACAGTTCCCAGGGGCGGCATAAAATAAAAGTAGTGAAATTATAATTAAAATATGATATAGATTTGACTAATAAACTACTAATAATTAAATGCATAAAATCACAATGGCTGCATTTTAAGCTAATTTTATTTTATTTAAAACTGCGGCTACTCCTGGGTTCCAGTCTCTACAAGCCCAGGAATTCTTAAACATTTGGAATAAAAAATAATTATTATAGTGCCGGCCTATATTATTGCAGCTGTCACACAGGCCAGCATTGAACTTGTTATTGTAGGCCATCCAGCTTCCCCAAACTTGTCCCATTAATAACTATCCCCTAATAAAGGCCTGCACAACTCAAAATGTAAGCCCGGCCGTAATACTTTACGAAACATTTGTGCAGGCCAAAAGAAATTTGGACATGACTTGTGCAGGCCAAAAGAAAATAGGACGGGGGAAAGCTATTAGGAAGATAAGAATAAAGAGTATTTCGTTACTTCGCGGGCTGCAAAGTGGTGCTGAGCGGCCCCCATGTTGTGCAGGCCTGCCCTAATGGAAAGCTTGATTTTTCTGTTTCTCTACTTTTTTTTTTGGACCTAATATCTCAATTTAACTGGGTCAAAATAAGACTTAATACAATGAACAGAATTTAGACAACCAGAGTTTCAATACCGGTATCTTATTCTTATAATTACGAATAGTAATTGGCAAACAGTCTTTAGCGCAGAAGATGCTGCCCACCCCTATAAATTAAAAACAAACTGCCACCAGGGGTGGGTCATCCCCACCCCTTTTCCTAGGCCACTGACTTGTTTTACACTACAAAATATACTGGCATTTGAGTTAAGATAATGTTCTAACTTTTGAAGGAAAAAAAAGTAATGGTAGTGCAGAATGACCTATTTTTCTTTCCATTCATGTATTCATTTAACATTACCAGTGAGACCCCCCCCCCAATTAATATTCCAGATTTTTAACAAAAACAACAGAAAATTAATTGTCCATTGACAGTAATTGTAAATCTTTTTTAGTGTATTTTAAACAAAACAATTCTGTATTTGATGACATTTAAATCGCCAGCATCCTTGCAATTATACCAACCCATAATACTTTCAATGTTTTTTTTAAAATGAATACCAGAAAACAAATTATTTATATTTATATATACAAAAAGATCATTCATAACAATGTTATGTGTGTTTATAGAAATTATTAACTATTTAAAGGTGGATCACTTTCATAGAAAATAAGCATTCACAATTCGATTACTACATTCTTGCACAAACTTGAGTCCATACTTTCATCCATTTTTCGGTCAATCAAACCGCCCCAGTTAGGAGGTCCACAAAATATGACATAATGGCTTCCTACTTACATATATTAACAAGTTCCCTGGAGGTTAACTATTTACTGAAATACAAAACTCATAGCTGCTCACTATGGAGTGCTCTTTAAAACCAAGAAATGAAGTGTGCCACTTGCACAAGATATCTGTGGGATAAATCTTAAAGAAATATTTATTGCTCTCTACTTCCTGAATTTAGAACCAAATTAAAACTGTGTTTTAAAAAACAATTGTAAACTGCAGAACAAGAAAAGAGTTTAATGAAAGAAGATAAGCTTTGCAAGAATAGAGTGATCTTGTGCACTTAGCAGCTGCAGGAAAGTAAAATATCTTATTACTTATGTATGTAGATGGATGAAGAAAAGACCTGCAACATATATTTAAAAAAATTTTAAGTACCGGTACTGAACTATATGATGCTATGATCCCTGAGATAAGAACAGTTTATACTCTACAATACTAAAAAACAAAACATAAGAGATTTAAAATTAAGGGTTTTCAATGTTTAGATATTTACATAATGACCAATGAATTCAGAGAATGAAGACAATCATTTTCCAAGTAGAAAGCAGGAAAATGTATATCAAAATTTATAAACACAGAAGGCACACTGCTATGAGTCAAATCTCTTGACAAAATATTCTCCCACTTCTTCTTAGCACAAGATAATAAGAAAATAAACCACACAACTGGCTGCTGTTTCTTTACAAATGAAAGAAATTTGAAATATTTCTATAGTACCGTAATATGCAAAATTTTTGCATTCTGCTTAAGTTCTACTAGTAAAACACTGTCTTCAATGTGACCTCCACAAAACATCAAGTAAGGTCTCAAACATATAGAATCACAGCCATGAGGAATGATTACAATTGCTCCCTTACTACAGTTGTCTTCAGCATTTACCTAGAAGATTACTAATGTCACCGTCTGTGTTTATCAAGCTTTTCCCTCAGTGGGCTATCTCTGTGACCATTACTACGGTGCTTACGTGATCTATGGCGATCTTTTTCTGGGGAATACGACCTCCTCTCCTTGTAATCTCTATCCTTGTAGTAGTCACGCTCTTTCTCCCTGTAATAATCACGATCCTTCTCTCTGTAATAATCTTTTTCTTTGTACTGCTCCCGTGAATCTTTATAATCTACCCTGCGAGATTTTTTGGGCATCTTAGGTGCACGAACTGGTGAACGACTGAATGAGCGTGATCTAGATCTGTATTTTCTTTTATGCTTGTCCCTCCCAAAAGGCTCTTGCCTACTGACTTTCTTATTGCTGGGGGACCGCCTGTGCTTTTTAGAAGCTGGAGAGACTGATCTAGGGCTATGCCGACTTTGACTAGAATGACTTGATGAACTGAAAGTAAAGGTTTTAAGCCTTAAATGAGTGTCCTATAGAAACAAAGTAAAATTATTTTGGCATTAAGTGTAATTTCAAAATAAACCAATTGACTTTGAAAAATCTCCAAATCAATGTACAAAGTTAATGGCTAAAATGACATTTTATGTACAGGTAACTATGACAGTGGCAAAAAGGTTCACACAAGCTATCAAATTATGTGAACATTTTAATCACTCAGTGTTAGGACTCTTCTGTTTGAATAACTTACTTAGATTTTGAAGCCCCACTTCTTTCACTATCATCACTTTCATGACTACGTTTTTTGCCTGCTCTTCTGTCATTGTCTTGGTCTGACCTGTCGCTCCCAGCATCTCCATTGTCTGTATTTTTAACCTCCAGCTTTTCCTTTTCTTTTTTCATTGCTTGAAGTAGTGAGGTTGGATTGGGGCTGAATACTTTAGGTGAATCTAAAATGACAATTGACACACATTGTTATTTGTGTGTTCTTCCAGTATGAAATGTATTAGGTAATCAAGGATTTGAACATGAATATTCATATTTTTCAATACACCAAACAAACAAAAATAGTACAACTCAAAATAACCTAGTTCGATACTCACTTTGTCTAGATGTAGAGTTAGGTGTATCTACATCAGAAACAAGTCCTCTTGCTTTAGACTTTGCAGCTTGTTGTTTGCGTTTCAGTTCTTCTACTGTTTTCTCTAGCTGTTCGAAGTTAGGCTGAAATTATTTACACACAATAAAAAACTGAGCACTTATATTACAATTTGTTGTCAATGACTGAAAAATAATAACAGCTCTAATAACAGCTCACAATTTAACTTCCTATAATTTACATTTGCTCAAATTAACTCATTCCAATGGGGAAGACAAGTAGAATCTAACTCTGTTTCGCAATTGATGTGCATTTGGAAAAAGAAAAAAAATTCTGCTAAATATAAATTAATGAATGAAGGCTAAATTCATCCATAAAGGAATTCTGCAATAAATATAGCATTCATGACGTAAAAATAAGTAGTAATTACCAAAAAAAAATTGATTTTTGGCATCATGGATGAGAACATATGGTGGATATAAGACGCACTGCACTAAAGCACACATAGATTGAAAGTGAAACGAGATAAAAACTCTCTGAAGTCTCAAATGAAGCATGATTTCATTGCTTTTTTGAAATAAAAATCTGAGGTGTGTGTTGCTATGCGCTGAGACACCCCAGAGTACCGTATTTATTTGCAACCATCAGAAATGGTTAAAATATTTGAAAATTAGAGATTTTTCTAAGCTTTCTCGTTAATTTTTTATTTTTATTTAAAATTTTCAAATTTATGAGTCACCTTTTGGGCCCACGTTTTTAACTCATGAATTACCTGTGAATGTATAATACACTAACCTTTGGTCTTGCATAGAGTCTGAGAATGGAGAGGCAGATGAGCTGGATCTCTTCCTCGTTAACGGAAAACAGCCAGAACCATGGTGGATTATTGGGCAGTGCAACTTGGCATTGACGAGCAGCCAAATAGATACAGGCACATGCAATAGACTCCGGATGAAATCGCATGAAAACATCTGAGCGAAGGCTGTCATTCATGAAGTTCCAGGCACACTGTACCAACTTTTTATTTCCTGTGCTGTTCAGGACTTTCAGATACATTACAATGATCTGGGAGTGAAAAAGGCTTGATGTTAGCAAGGTGCACAATAGTTAAGAACACAAACTTTGGACACTTACTTCCTCAATGTTTACTTAACTCTAGAAATAATGACGAACTTACTTTGTGTGGATGTTTGACATGAACAGCAAAACCCAGCTCTTTTAGAACTCTTCTTTCTGCCTTAATAACTTGATTCTTGAGATTGATATAATGCTGGTCCAGTACCAATGAATGGATGTTCCTGAAATTGATGGGAAATTATAAATAGAGGAATATTTTTCAGTCACATTTTGTATGTCTGTAAACTGAGACTGCTGACGTGGAATGATCCAAAAACAAGAACACTGGTGATAAAATGTCAGTTTCCAATATAATAATTTTATATCAAACTCTGGGGACTAAAAGAAAAAAGAATTAGTGCAATTTCATCCAAAAATATCTTCACATAAGGATGAAATATTTTATCAAAAGTTATAAGGATAAGATCATAAAAACTGCTACTAATGGGCAATGAGTTACACTGCTATAGCAAAGCATAAAACTGAATGTGCAACAGATTCATATATAACATGTTTGGGGCAATGACTGAACTTTTGTTATAAATTTGAGAGTTTGACTTTGCCACATTAAAATTTAATACCATACTTTACTCTACAGATGGTAATAACTGATAAGTTAAGATAATGTCTCAGTATGGAGAAATGCAGATATCTACCCTGCAGCACACATATGAGCTTTAATATTCAGTAAAGTTTCTTTAAGATTGTTGGAAAAAAAAAGTGACCATAGCTCAGAGCAAATATGAAAAAGTTAATTTTGAGACTGCTAAAAACGGTACATATAGTTTTTGAAGTTGAGATGAGAGCACACATTTTTAATGGGTATCACTGCTATAGCTGTTTTTAGAAGGTTCAAATTTGAACTGTTAAAAAATATTTTTTAAAGGAAATTCACTCAGCCAGGCAAGTATGATTTTTCAATGCTCTAAAAGAAATTACTATTGAACATTATTATTTTTGTTGTTTGGCCATATGCTTTCTTTTTACATAAAATATGTTATTGCTTGATTTGAAAGATTAAAAAAGATTGAAATGGATATGAAGCAAGGACACAATGTTTTTTTAAGTACAATAAAATTTAGTGTTTTGTTCAGAAAACAAAATCAATTCAATAGACATGGAAAAGTTTTTAATAAATTAAAGTAAACAAATATAGTGATCTTTTAAATGATATAATTATTAAGTAATCAAGGTTGAGATTCCTGTGTGTTACAGTAATGAGTGGACAAATGAAAAAAAATTAACAAAATCTACATACAACATTGTTGTTTTTCCCCAACCTCCCTCAAACTTTGAAATGCTAATTTATTTTCACTCAATGTCAAGTTTAAATGATGTCTTTTATGCAGTAATACATTTTGATTTTTGGCAGAAAATTTCTTATCTATGAGAAAAGGGGGAACATAAACTTTGGGAAATCCCTACCTCTTTAAATGAAAACTCATTATTAGAAACCATCAACTAGCAAAACTGAAATGACATTATTTCTGAATATTCTGATGGACTCCTTGGTGGATTAGGTAGCACCACAATAGTTATCTAATTAACAGTTACACACTAAATGTTATTTGTGTGTTCTTCCAGTAAGAAATGTATTGGTAATTGAGCATTTGAACATGCATTTTATTTTGAAAAGGTTTCTTTCAATGTAAAATGTTTGGAGACCAAGAATTTAGAGTGTTAGAAATATGAATGGTGAGAGTGATAAGATAAAGATTATCTTTGAAACATGATTAAGTGATGAGATATAGATTAAGTAAAAGCTTGTACCAATAAAATCTTGGAATCAAATCCTGAAAAAAACATATTAAAGCACCCTTTGGTCAAAATGTATAGTATATATTTATCCTATTACAAAATATGTACATTTTAAAAAATGGTTGTGTAACAGAAAGATATTTAAAACATCAGCATGAAAACAAGTAGTTCAAAATAGTTCTGACTACTTTCAACTCCATTTTTGGAGATGCCTCCCACAGTTCCAGTCTGGTGTTGAGATCATGACACTGGCTTGGTTGTCCTGAGTCATAGTTCAAGGAAGGAGTATATTGAATTGGGTGGAAATATCTGGGATTAAAGAATGTATCTTTAGGATACAATACAAACGGATAACTCATGTCTAATTTACATCATTTAATTAGAGAATAACATGTATTTAAAAGCTGGTCTGGTTATAAAAATTAAAGCAGTATTATTAAAATGCTTCAAGATCCATGTGCACTATAAATTTAAGAGCCTCTGCAAATAAAAAACAAATGCAAAGCAAACTACTCTTATATTATTAAATTAATTTCCACTGATAACATTGACAGGTAAGCATAAAACAATAACATATCAGTCATGAAACTCTCAAATTGTATATCAAAAGTCAGTCAAAGGAACCTTTGTTTCTTTTCTTTTTTCTCTCTTTTTTTTTTTTTTTTTTTTTTTTCAATATACATTTTTCCAAACTGCATTTTTTTTTTTTTTTTTTTTTTACAAAATACAATTACCCAAATGGCATTTTTTGTGTTTAATTCATACAAACCATATGGACCCATGGCGTAAGATGGAACCAGGCATGCCTTTCTGGTTGAGCGAGGAGGTGGAGGAGACAGACGAGACTGATACACAAGAGTGTACGAAATTGAGTTTGTCTATCTCCGGCTTCCCACTTCTCCAACCCAAGGCCACACAACACAGATAAATCTGTAGCACATCCAGTTTTGTGAAGGTTGGGAGGAAGAAAAAGAACAGTGTTAATAAGAGGTTCTGATGTTGAAAATACAAAATAACTTATTCTAGATTTATAACCTTTAAATTTAATTGAATGAATTTATAGAAATCATTAGCGATATAATTAATACAAACAAAATGTATACACCCTGCGTCTGCAATTTAAATACAAATGAAACAATACTATTAAATATACAAAAATGGTAAAAACAAAAAAGTGAAATTTCAACTGACAATAATTCATCAATATTGAAAAAATGCAACTAAAAATGATACTTATACAAGTATTTCAAAAATATTTTAGCTATGCTATATCAAGCAAATCAAATGGACTAATTTGATAATTAGAAAGATGAGATTGACCTACCTTCTATTTCGTACTTGCTTAATGTGGTGGAACACATTTATAACATCTCGATTCCTTCTTGGACATTCTTCTATCTTGGAGGCCAGCATTATGCTTGCCATTGCCACAACCTGCCAACAGTCAGTAATCATACATTAAAAAGAGAACAACATTTTCTCAAAACCTTGTGGAGATTCCTACATGCCAATCCAGGCATGATTTTTGCTTCCTGCTGCATCTAATAAATAATGACTTTTAATGGAGAAGTGGCTAAACAAAAACAATAAGTGGTGTACAAAGATGGGTGGATTCAGGTCTACTTGTCAACCCACTGAGTAACCAATATACTGTTTTATTTAGCTATTTCTTATAATATCTGGAAAAAATTTAAATAATTACCTCCATGTTGTGCTTGATGAAAGATTTGGAGTAGTAGAACCTCTGAAACACAACCTGTGCGGTGGCCATTGCAACCTGAAAACACAAAAATGAATTGATGAATCAAATGAAATGAATCAATTAGCTGATATTTTAAATAAGGGAAAAGGCCTATTGAACTAAATTGAAGCCCTTCATCTCCATAGTCATAATCATGCTAGTGGAACAAGAAGTAGCTCTTAGGCTAGACCAGCGATTCTCATTCCAGCGATTCTCAACATTTTTATGCTTGTGGCCCACTTGCATTTTGTCTATATTTCTTTGGCCGCCCTCCCTAGTATACATACAGAGACATATTTTTCAAAGTTTTTGTGGCCCACAAAGAAATACACTTTGAGAAATGCTGGTATTGGGGGGGGGGGGGGGGGGGGGGGCACGCAGCTTCCATTCCAGTTTATCAGTTTATAGCAAAACAATATTGTGTCACTAAAGAAACTGTTATAATGTTAATTCCCTTATCAGAGTATATTAACAGTTAATGATAATTTACAATGTCTGCAAGAATGGTAGTGAAACATTTAGACAATTTACATTAATCCATCAATACCACATGATATCACTCCCATGTAAGAATCTAGCATATTCAGGTAACTTAATGTTTGTGGGTGCCATTGTGGCACTTGTTTCTCTCAGTTGTCTAATACAAAATATTTCAAAGAACACCTAATATGTAGAAAATAAGCATCTGTGTTATGGCCTAGGAAGTTATAAGCATCTGTTATGGCCTACGAAGTTGATGGAGTGGTTTGAGGGGTAATGTTTACTGTTTGATGAGTTCATTAAAGCACATCAACATTGATGCTCAGGCGAATGTGTGATGAAATATTGGGTATAAGTGTAGCTGATGAACTATCTGGAATACAAAACATGGTGCCCTCATTGTTGCAAAACAGATGCTAACCAAGACGCTACACCACCCACATCTTTTAAGTGAGCATATGGGCCTAAAATGCTTTTATTAATTTCAACTGAATTTTGGTCCTTTAATTTTAACAGGACAGGATCTTTTTACAACTCTGTTGGCACTTAAACTCCTGATACTGCATGACAAAGCATGCTCAGAAATTTACCACAAACAACAGTGTAATTAATTTTTTTAAATATTTGATCAATTTACGATTTCCGCGCCATGACTTGTGTCTGTATAGGATTCTTTCCCTTTTGTTGTTACTAAAGCTAACTTTTCCTTAGTAAAATGATGGAATGTTTTAAATTAATATTTCATTGGTTGGTTCATTATAATTTTAAAATATTAAAATTTTCCGGATTTTGGAAAATGGGTTTTAATTTTGACTTGATTTTCTCAGAACTTTTGGATTTTCCTTTTAGTGGACCTGAAATAAAGTTTGCAAAAATTGTATTCTATTGGAAAGTTGGGTTTTCATTATTTTACAATTATTTTGTATTGTTTTGCTTCATTTTTCTGTTTTTTTACCACAGATCACAGTGTCAGTCAGTGTGAAACTGAAGCTGCGGGCATATTGAGCATCAGGCTAGGGTTAGGCTAAGGAATAGGTTTAGGAGTTAGGGTTTAGCTGTCTTTTTAACATGGGAATCATCTTGGTTGCATGACCCATGAAATGTCATGGCAAGGAGAGCGTAAATTTACTAAATAATTTGGTAATCTTGCAGTTCAGGTGCGTATATTATTTCTGATCGAATTTCGTACTATCGGGTGTAAACTTGCGTGTATTCTTCATTAAATTAAATCCAGGCAGTGATAGTTAACTAATACTGAATTATACATCACTTATTTTCGTTTTATTTCTAATTTCTATAGCTCCTTTTGTTTTTATTTTCTAACCCTGTTGCCAGAGTTTTGATCACCTATAAGTATAAGTTGGTATGCCGTATGCTAAACAAAATTTTCAAATTGTAGCCATGTTCACAAAAACAATGAAATATGGGGGAGGAGGGGTGTTGAACTAAATTAGATGTTCTGTTATTTTATAGGCAGTGTCTACACGTCCGGCGGGCCGGACGTATATCTCCCGCAGTATTTGCCTGACGACCAAGTCACACGACCGCCGTAACAAAGTGGCGAGAGATATTTTGTCATCAGCCTTGTCACGTTACCGCGAATGATTCAAAACTATTGTTAAATTTTAAAATCTATTTCTTAACCAAGTAATGTACTAAGTAACTTGCATGCAAATAATAGAAAAAAAAATTTAAAGTGAAAGTGGCTTGTAAACATTTTTGTTTAGTTTGTTATTTGAGTTTGTGTACCAGTAATCCATAAAATAAATTATGGGTCAGTATTCAGTATGGAGTAGGCAACCAATACAAGTAAAAGATTTCATTTTAAATTGTTTGAATTGCTACAAAATATTTTAAAACTTCTCATAAAACTACTGTTGATGATGAACATGATAATATAGATTAAATATAATTTCAAATTAAAATTGATCCACAAATATAATATCATTAAGCGGCCACTCTACCACAAGACCACACACGATCTTCTCAAAAGATGCTTTCTTCGGAATAATAATGCCACTAGTCATCCGGCGGTCACGTGACATGCACACCGGACGTATATGTCCCATACTATTTGTCCGGCGCGCCAGACATGTAGACACTTCGTATTTTATAGGGGCTCAACATTTTTTTTTCTTATATGGGGGTGAATAAATATAATTCCAATCGAAGGCTCCTGCAGGCTGCATGGGCATGGGTGAATGGAATGAGATCAAACGTAGTACACATAATAACGTATACTTGATTATCCATATTAAAAAACCAGCACTGAAGTTTAATCATGAACTCATAATTTTAACTTTTCCTAAAACTAGCCAATATACACGCCAATTTTACATAAATTTATTTTGTGAACATGCTTTTAGTTTGAAAAGTTAAGCATCAATAAATAATTTTGGTATGATTTAATATAATCTATTTTCTCATTTCCTTTATGTGAATATGCTTTCAATTGAAAAATTGCAATCTGGCATGTAGGGTGTATGTAAAAAACCAAGAAAATGGAGAGATTGTTTACGCTATCGACTATGTACCAACGCGGGCTGTAAAAATCATTAAAAAGAAAAGTTATTGCTTTACAATTTAGTTTTAAGTCTAACTAATACTGTCTAGAATAAATTTTATAAAGAATTACGTAAGATTACATGCGATTTCGATCAGAAATAATATAAATATATGCACCTAAACTGCAAGATTACCAATAATTTTACAAAAACGTAGAGTGGCCTTTAACTTTTAATATGATGTCTGTTACTGAACTTAGTAGTTTAATAAGGGGTGACAGTAACTACAACTAGTTAGTCGGTGTAGTCACGTCACAGTTCAGTATCAGTTGTCAGTACCGTAGGCAGGCTACACAGTCACAGAGTCACAGTCATGTAAATGTAGGCTGTTTTGAATATGATTAAATTAAAATATTGTTAATGTTACCTAACCCTAATTTAATATGGCCTTATTTATGAAGTCGAAATATAGGTCTATATTAATTAAGCTCTATTTTATATTTTATAAGTCCACCTATCAATATCACAAAAGTTATTTATAATTTAGTGGGCCTACTACTAATCTAGGTCTAGGTTAGTCACAGTTAGTCAGTTAGTGGTTACATTTTGAGATCCGGTTGACAAGCCTCTCCACCCTATTTTTCGCCGTTTGTCTCTACCTTTGGTCCTACATATTTTTAGAGAATTAAGTTTTATGATCTACGGAGTTTTAAATAAATTACATTCTTGACATACTAAAATATGTGTACAAAAATAATTGTGAAATTCGATGTAATTCATTGGCATAGAATTGATATTTATTAATTTAAACTTGACTAACCTGAGGTAACTTCAAAAGAATTCCGGCAGTCTGAATAAGTTCACATCCTAAAATCCTCAGATCGGTTTCAACCTCTTTGTCAAGGCCATCGGACATTGAGGGGGTTTCTGACAACTTATCATCAGGTATTAGGACATTATCCAGAGTCAGTACAACTTTACTAAAGTCGCGTTTCATCGTGGTAGAAATGGCAGCTTCCGCCATTATGAAGCAAGATGTGGTCGACTGTCGACTGTCGACAATTCTTAAATCTTTGTTGAGTACTCGGATTTTAAAGGAATCGATACTGTAAATTCGGAAAAATAAAGAAAAATTGTTTCCACAAAAAACATGCAAAGTAAATTAACAATTAACAATGTAATGAAAATTTAAAACGAGTGTGCCATTTTATCTGAAGGCCTGAGTGCCACAGTAAGTTGACTAACTTGAATCTTAAGTGTCCTCCATGAAAAGTATCTTCAATATCTTAGTTTTCACTTCAATATAATCAAGAGCCTACTAGTCATTACTTGTCGTTGCGAATGTAAGATTACAATGGTTTTTAAAAGATGGTTTAAATATTAATAAAAGTATGTATTGGCTAAATTGGTTTGAGGGTGAAATTCCTTGTGAAAATCCAAATAAATTCTTATTTAAAAGATTAACTTTTTTTTTTAATTTACGGAAAAAGTATGGCTTCTCTGAGATTTTCTAGCTAATTAATTTAATGAGTAGTATTTTAATATTTGTAAAAAAATAATGGGTGTTTATCAAAATAATGTAAAAATGAAGGTTAAACGTTAAACATTACATTATTGAGTGAAAATAAAACTTTCAGGCATGTGTATCGATACTATAATTTTTAAATTTTGTACTTGACCATAATATCTCGAACGCGAAAAACCCTAACGATAACCTGCTAAGAATCATGGGAATGTTATGACGTCATAGAAAATTTATTCACAACATCACTTTCTCATTGGTTCTATACTCCCTTCATATATCATATTATATAATATAATTTACAATAAGTGTATCAAAAATTAATTGAAAGAATAAACCAATGTCGGTAAATGTGAAGAGATAGCACAGCGTTTATATAATTTGACTTGATGCTTGTTACACAGACTAATTCGTAATATACAATATAATTAATTTATTCTAATACTCTAATTAGCCTAATTATTCGTATTACCGTACAAATAAGTAAAGTATTATTATTATCGGTTATGATATGATAATCATAAATGAGCCCAAATATAAGCTTTCATATTAAAAATGTTAAAATTCATTATAATCGGTAATAATATCAGCGTTATTTGAACAGCTATAAATAATAATAATAATTATTATTATGTATCGTCCACAAATTTGTCACGCTCGGGGGGGGGGGTGTCTGAAAGACAGACATGGGGGTGAGGGTTGAGATTTTATTTGTGTCGTCACAAAGCGTTATTTGAACAGCTATAAATAATAATAATAATTATTATTATGTATCGTCCACAAATTTGTCACGCTCGGGGGGGGGGGGGTCTGAAAGACAGACATGGGGGTGAGGGTTGAGATTTTATTTGTGACGTCACACATTTATATATATATTTTTTAATCATACATTTAGAACAGGGATCTCAAACTCAAATTATCCGGGGACCGCAGGAGATAGAATCTAAGAAAGTGATTAGAAATTTAAAAAAGTACAACTGTTGCCATCTGCACAATATTTATTAATAATAATATAAAAAAAACTTATTTAAATATATGTAAATATATATATATAATATGCAAAGCGTGTTTTCTCAAAATTGCACCTGGCCATGTTTGTCTCATAAAATGCCATAGCCTACTATAAAATGTTTTTTAAAATAGCCCGATTTTAAAAAGTTTTTTACCATTATAATCAATGAACAAACCTAGAAAAACATAATGAATTAGATTAGTCGGTGAGATTTGACTGAAACCGTCGCGGTTGGTTACATTATAGATACCTGGGGAAAACGCGTGGGCCGAAATACATTAAATTTTGCTGTCGGGTATCGGAACGCAAAATATCGTCTTGCGGGCCTTAAACGACCCGCGGGCCCCATGTTTGAGATCCCTGATTTAGAAGCTATTGACAGGAATGTCTAACTTTCTTTGTGCTTGATTCTGATAGACGCTGTCTCTAGTCTGGTCTAATTTTAATAATCAAGTGTGTTTTAGAATGAATTTTAATTAGTTATTAATTTTTTTTAAAATATATATTTAAGTGTGACGCACTTGGGGGGGGGGGGGGGTCTGGGATTTGTGACGGGGGGTTAAAAATAAGGGGACATACTTTATGGACGGTCCCTTGGTTTTTAATTAATTGGAAAGGGTATTTGAACAAAATATCACTCCTCTACGCGATGCGAGAGACTGTGTGTTTTAAACGCAACTGTAGCGTTCGGACGAAGCTATGACCCGGCGCCCTCTCTACGACCAAATGACTCCCTGTACAACTTAGTACAAGGGACATAGGACAGCGATTCCCAAAAAGTTTCCTTTTTTTTTTTTTTTGGACCGGTGGACAAGTTTAGAAACTTCAACAGGGAACGGAGCCAGATTTATTATATTTCCTTTTTATTTGAAAATAAATATTTATGGTGGTGTACGGACTGACAACATGAGGGTCACGTACACATACCGGTCCGCGGACCACCATTTGGGGAACGCTTGCCTAGGAGACGCAAATCCTAGACCTTAGTGGGGTGGAAAATTTGCTGCCCTTTTTCTCTATTCTTATGGCTTGATACATACGGTCTGGATGACCTTCTAAATCTCTGCGTGTCGATTTTGTGTAACATGTTGGCGCTTGGAATTACTACTGCAGAGGAGGCATCAGAGACATCCTTCACAGGCCGGCACGAGCCGAACAAGTGACTGACCGTTATGGATGTCGTGCGAGGGGGTCACCATGCTCAAATCCTATAAATGAAAGTGTGTAGCATAAGACAGAAGGCGTACGAGATATCCCAATTTATAAGCTACTCCACGAACGTGAAGTGGACGTAGCCCTATTCCAAGAAATGTTGCAGCATGGCGAGCCGTTTCACAAAACTGGTTATTCGCTGTACCATTTGCAAAATGTGTCCGATGTCGAGGTCTTGTCACTATTGGGATAGTAGAAGTGAACAACTACAGAAAAATGGATACTCTCACGAATTTTCACGAAGGACGTAGCTTCTAAAGTGACGAACGCCCAGAAAACCCATCACCTTACCAGTAAGGGACAACATGGTTTTCGGGCAAAAAACCATAATGGCAGGGGCAGGAGACTTAAACGCGTAACGCACAGTCACCTGACTGGGGTTTTTCGAAACGAAATGCTTCGGGGGATACATTGAGGAGTATGGTCTGCCTTTCTACCAGGTCTGATGCCATGCTAATCTCAGCGGACCTCGAGTCCAAGCACATGCTGGAGGTTCTTGATGAGGTTGGCACTGGTTGAAAGTGACCATCCATCGAAAAGCTAGAGCACCTGATAATCGCAGAGTGCCCCGATACCTGAGGGGTTTCAATAGACCAAACTTGAAACCTGTGTCAATCGTTCAATTTATGGGGACGCCCGCTTGACGAGACTCGCCTTTGATATTCTAGCCAACGTTTTAGGCTCAGAGTTTTGGCTCAAACTTACAAGAGAATGAATCATATTTATTTATTAACTAGTGATATAAAGGTACCGGTACTTAACAAAACATGCACTCAAGTACGGACTTAAATAAAAATCCCATTAGTGCTAACCCCACCCCCCACAAACACCCACACCCGGTACACAACCACACATTTTTTCATGGCCTTGAACTATGCTACAATTCTAAGGTCCCCCCCCCCCCTTTTTTTTATTTAAACAATGCAGATTGTTACACTCTTTTTAAAATTATTTCATTAAAAACAAGAGAAAATATTTGTACCAAACGCACTAGTGATATTAAGACTCTAATTTAGCGCAGATTTCGAAAATTTTGTCATTTGCGACATTGAACTCTAACTCATCATTATTTCATTATACCATATTTTCCTTCATACCTATCCAATATGAGACAGTATGGAGGATGGTGAGTTCGTTTATAATTCTGTCTACTTTACAGTATTACAGATTGGAGGCTGGCCATAAATAAAAAAATTACCAACATAAATTGAAATTTGTTTTGATTTTATTGCATACCGGTATATTAATTTCACTCTTAAAAGTCTTTGAGTTGTTGTTGTTGTTCCCAGAATTGCTGCATAGAGCAACCACCGCACTGTGTGGTCAAAATAGCTGTTAGGTCTTTTAGGATGCAATTGGGACAGAGTTTTGGCTTTTATATATATATAGCTATATATCTATATATAATATATATCTATATATATATATATATATGATATATTTATATATACGCACATATACATACACACACACACACACACATATATATATATATATATATATATATATATATATATACAATTTCTCACTAAAGTGTCTAGAGTCTTAAACTAAATTTACAAGACTGCATATTATAAACACTTTTTTTTTTTTTACATTTCCAACTTGAAAAACTATTCTTCTCTTTCTCTTGATGATTATGAATGTTTACATTATTCTTTAAAAAAATATTTAAAATTTATTTTCAAATATATTTATACTATAGACTTGTAGCCTAAATTATTTTTCAAAATAGCAGGTAGGCTTAATTTTAGGAAAAATATTGGAGTCGGGTTGATTACTTTTTAATCATGCATTTATTTGAAATCAACAACAAATTTATGATTAAGATAGGCCTAATCTTTAACATCATTTCAGTCAAATTTAAATAATTTTTTTTAAGTTCAGAAAAGGAAAATAATATTTTATGTAAGTTTTTAATTTATACAGGCTATTTTGAGCAAGAGGGTTGTAAAGATTTATAGTTTAAAAAATATTTGTTTCAAAAACTTATTTAAATTTTACTTATTGTTAGGCCAATTAAATTTTAGGACTTTTTAAACATTCTTTTCTATAATTTAGAGTCATTCTTAAGCTGATTAAAAATATTGTTTTTTTACCACTTTAAAATTATATGCATGTGCCTGAATATTTATCAATTCATAGCCTGCCATAGGCCTATATTAAACTTGTAAAATTAAAAAGTAATACTTCTTTAAAAATAAATTGAATTAATTTTTATATCTTGAGTTTCAAAATATATTATGACAATCTTAATCTATTTTTAGTGACCAAAGCTTTATATGTGGTCAATATATTACTTTTAGTCTTTGAATATTTAAGGTTCAATTCTGAAATTCTTGCAAAGTTGCATAATGCCTATGCCTCTGGGCATCAAGGGGTTTATAGAATATTAAGCTAAGTCTATTCTTCAATGAAAAAAAGCAATTTAAAATCTTAAATATTTCTCATCATATAATAACTAACTATAGGGCCTACACATTGGCATATCCTATTTAGCCAGTATAGGCAAAGGTCCTTTACTTTACACACTCTGAATGTATAAAAAAATCTCACATTACATTTAAAAAAATGTTAATAACCTAATGGAAGTAGGCCTAAAAATTTAAATGAAAATAAAAAAATCATTTATTTTAAAATGCCATTATTCAATTTATTAAAATAATAATTAAAATTAATGCAGAAAAACCAATCATTCGAAAACTTAACTTGAGCCTCCACATTTTTTAAAATAACAACATTGCAATTGTAGTGACTAGGCTGTGAGCTATTAATCTAGACTCATTGAGAATATATAGGCCCCCTATGCCTACAACTACATGGAGCAATATTCTTTAATAATTATGTCTAGTTTATTTTAGAGCCTTGCCACAGTTTACGGTTAAAGGTATAAATATGTATAATTTATAATACTATCCATGTCTCGTGACATCATTTAAGCAGGTATGAAAGTTATGTAACCCCACTAAAGTCTAAATAATAGTATAAAAAATGATGGAGGACTCATCATCTTGTGGCTTGTGGATTTTTTAAAATAAAAACTACTGACCAAATCGTATTGTATTTCAAAGAATTTCTGACAAACGGCTATTAATTTAATTTCAGACCACATTTATAATAATCATGATCCTCTTATAACCCAACTGACAATAGTCTTTACAAATTAAAGTTTTTGATAATACGTCTTATACACTAGGCTGTGGCCTATGGGCAGTTTGAGTTTGGTATGACACATCGATTGTAGCAGTGAAACAGGAGGCCATTACGTTACGAATACTAGGTTTAGTGGTTGTTTCACGTAATTTTATTTAGTAAATATAACTTTTTTTCTCATACATTTAAATAAAATTAAAAAAGAGAGACATTTTTTTCGTTATTCAATTCAAAAATAGTTAGACTGCCTATGATGTGTGTTTCAAAAGCATTGAAACTGACAAAGATCTGACATTTTAGAAGAAAATATTCTGTGCAAGACTAGTCAAATTTTAACTTTATTTGGGGGGTGTAGCATTCCTTTTCGTCCTATTTAACTGTTTATAATAATGTAGTTAATTTAAATTGCCAAAGTTATCAATTATTAATTATTTCAAAATTAATTTAACACTATTTTTGTTGATTATCAAATGATATAATTCTAAAAGAATGTTTTTAAATGACATGAGTGTATGTTAACCCCCCTAAGAATCAGTCCATTTCAGACCGCTTCGATACAGGGCGCTGGTAAGACGTGTGAGAAGGAACGCACGCCACAGGATGAACATTTAGTGTAATTCCTACAAGGTTCGCGTGAAGTTAAAATCATACCGTAAGATATAGCTGAGATTGATTATTTCGAATGTAGTTACATCTCTTAAAACTATCTATACTTTATAAGTACTTGTAAACACATTTAACCGATACTCTACATTATTATGCAGAGACACCCTATATAGTATATTATTAATATATTAGGCTTCAAACTGTATGTAGTGGTCTCTAAGACTTAAGAATGGTTTATTGCGCTGTGAATAAGTAATATGTATAGTATTGACAAATCTATCAAACTATGATATCAGAAGTATGTGTGCATAATGTTTGCATTTTAGCCATTATTTTTGAATTAAGATATTTCTTATTGGTTTAAAATTAGTAGCTTATACTCAAAGCCCAGTGCAAGAGCTAATATCCCCGCGCATCTCTTTTGCGCATAGAGCAAAGTATTTTTCAGCAAGGCTCTAATACCCTAAAGTTAATATATTTTTAAAATAGAGAATATAAATAAAAATGAAGCGCTTAATTTAGGCGTTAAAACGAGCATGGGTTGGTAAAGGTTGGTTAAATTTAGTCGTTACACTGGCCATTTAATCATTTTTGCCCCTAAACATCGTGAAGTTAAGGCATTAAAGGACATTAAAATGTTTGTTAATATAATATAAATCTGCAAAATGGCTGCCGCGTGGAGCGTACATTTAGTTAGTTGGTGTTAGTTGGCAAATGTAAATAAATAATTAAATATATAGATATATTTTTTGAAAATTTTAGCAGGTAAATGTTTAACACCAGGTGATCTGTAAAATAATTCAATATCATTTTTGTGCATTTTAAAAAAGACATTGGCATTTATTTCTAAATGTACTAGTTGTCTATGCTACTTATATAACTGCTTACTTAAAATAGGCATAGGCATAGGTATAAGAACATTAAGTTAAATAAGTAAGTTATAACTTAAAACTGACTTGGGCTATTTTGGCCTTAAAAAAATGGAGCCTGGGACTCATTTCATTGTATAAGTCTAAAACTTAAATTAATATTTATATGTTTCATATTTTAATTAAAACTAAAAGTCCATTTTTTATTTTTTAAAAATCCAACCAAATTTGTTTTTGTTCAAATTAATGCCAATACTCATACTGAGCCACATTAATTAATTATTTATTAATAATTTAAAAAAAAATTGCCTTGCCTTATTCTTAATGCCTAGTGACTTAAAACATTATCTTAATCATACTTCTTAAAAGTGACAAAAAATTTGAAATGTATTTAAGGAACATTCACAACCCCCTTTACCATTTCAACTGCAACTGGTTTCTATATTTATAATATTTATTAAGATACAATTGATAACATTAATGGCATGGGCTAAGTCAGATCTTTTTAATAACCTTTTTAAGTATTCAAGGTCAATGCAAATAACAATGTTGATTATTAATAACATAATAAAGGCCAACACTATTACATATCATGGGAATGGTCTATTTCAATGAGACACAAAAACAACCCAATCAATATTTTTTGTTATTGCAATTAAATGACCCTCAGCCTGTACACTGTACAGTAAACAAATGAAATTGTTTACATTTAAAAGGGTATTAATTAATTCTCCATAGTCAAAATTTAAAAAAAAATAGACATGCTTTTATTGAAGAGATTTCTTCCCTTCCTCTGATTTTGAACAATTTATTATTATGAGACATCATTGAATATCCAGACAAAGGTTTTTATGGTGATATTGGAATTGAATGCTGTCTGCTGAGGTCAACCAATTTCTGTTTATATTTTTTAGTTTTGTTACCGTTACTTACTTTGTTTGTTTTACAAGCCTTTGCAGGCAGTTTCCGATATCTAATAGATTACAATATTAGAAAAAAGTTAAGAAAGAACCCCTTCTTATATGACTTGTTGTGTTACTTAGATGGAATTCTTCATAATTTTGTTAAAATCTGCTAGGCTTGTAAAAAATATTATTTTGTTGTAATACCTGGTTCCAGTAAAGAGTAGGCCTTGAGGGGCACATCACAACATAGTAAATTTGGTTATTTGAGACTGTTTGTTGTCAGTTCATATTCACAGTGGGTATATTCATAACTGTATTAGTCTGGTCTTTCTTCCCCGGGGAATATTGAAGCTTTCACTTTAAATGCAAACCATTCAGTCCTTGACATGGCAAAAACATGAGTGCAATCATGCATTTTCTTTTAGTTAGCTTATAAGCGAAATCTTTTGCTGAAATGCTAAAAAGATATTTATGTATTCCGCTTCCTTGTTCTATTTTAAATTTAAATGTCTGAAGATGTCAGCTGAATACTTAAGATGTCTAAGCAAAGTGACATTTCTCAATTCTTCTGTGGATCATGTTTTTGATCCACCTGAACTATTTATACCAGTAGCTTGGTTCTGAGATATCACACTCAAATTAGAACATTTTTATTTGACTGAAAGCTTGTGTATGATATAGTATATTTGAATGTTCAAATTCTCCCATCTTTGTATAGATCATGCAAGTAATGTAGGGCCCTATGGAGTGGATTATTAACTCTAAAAAAGTCTTGATTTTCAGCCATTTTTTATCCCTCATTAGTTGCTTTTACTAAACTTTACAACATGGCTGGTTGTTCAATGAACAAAGCGGGAATAAAATGTTTTATTATATCATTATATTCAAAATGGAATTGGATATTATTTGATACCAATTATTAGATTACAGTTACCTTTATGCTTTTGATGTTAATCCAGAAGATTGAGTAACAAAAATGTCAACAAATCACAAACATGTAGTTAAAATCTTTATTAAATTCATCAAGGGTATCCATTTTTACGACACTTAAAGATTTCAAGCAATTTAGCCAACATTTGTATTAATTATGATAAATGTTATTTTTTAAATATGCATTCATAAAAATAAATTTAAAAAAAAATGTAATTTAAAACAATTCTTATATTTTACACAAAAAAAATTAAATAAAACAAAACAAGTGTTTCAAGGGAGAAATACCATTATTATCAGCAAATAATATAAGTGGAGATTAATAATTTTAACATTGTTAAAAAAAATATATCATTTTGGGTACAAATAAACAATTATCGGTTATGAGATCTGACAATTTCTGCTTTCCAGAAAACTCACATTTAACAAAAGGACCCCATGAAGTCCTAAATGTTCTCTCTATTTTATAAACCTCTAATTTATTATTATCTAATAATGAAGATTTGCACATTATTTCTTTACTGTAAGTTGTAAGTAACGACTGCAGTTTTAACAGCATGCCAGGTTATAATAATTCATATCGCTGTGGCAGAAACATGAGCATTGTCAACAAAGTTTCCATACCCTGATTAATTCTATTGATGAACTAAAAAACCTTAAGCCATCAGATATTTTTATTTATTGAAGACATGCATTCTTTCTTCAGATTAAAGGTAATATGGCTACTAGCCCAACACTAGAAAAATATTATTAAAAATGAAAGAGTTTGGCTCTCAGCCACTTTTTTCTTTTATCAACTAATATTATCACAATTCCAAAAACTATGCAGAGTAGTGCATTCAGATTAACCCATTTATACTGTTAAACTAGATATAGAATCTGAAATACGTGATAATTCATTAACGGTACTGTTGAGTTGATCCATTCCATTATTATGTTAAATTTATTAAATGATTACCAGTATGCCCTATTCTGTCTTGCTTTTCTTCATTAGTAATATGATTGCACTAGGGACCATACTTGCACACATTTCCTTTTCATGGGGGCCCAGAAGAAATTAAAATGTAATTGCTTATCAACAGTTTACTTAGTTATTTTTTTTTTTTAGAAACTTCCTTTTATAGGTCTGTATATTGGCCTATATTTACACAATAAAGAAAATCTATAACCCAGTGAATAAACTCCTTTCATCCTGCAACAGTTCACACAATTGGGGCTTGTAGATTAGTAGTCCCATTAATGATAAAAGTCTTGTTCATCAACTGGGGGTGTCCCGTTTTAAAATCAAGTCAGCTTAGTTTCCCTTAAATCAGCTGCAATGGTTTATGTACATTTACTGTGCATCTCCAGTCTTGATGCAGGTGATCGTTCTTATCATGTCTTGATTTAGACAAGTGGTAGGTCAGGTCTGAAGGCAGGAATAGCAATGCCACGATGATTGGGTTGCCCAGTGTCTTAGGTACCACTCTGATACTGTGAAATGATACTAAAATACAATCATTACATATAAGCTTAGATCTTAATACAAAACTGGAAAAAATTAAATTCATTATTAAAATAATAAATAATAAAAACCAAACATTAAAAGCTATTTTTCATCCAGAATAAATTGCAGCCTGGAAAGTCATTGCCTCTTCTTAATTTATTCAATGTAAACAAAGGGAATTTCAAACTGCAATTTTTTTTGTTTATACACGGGATATTTTCACTCAGTTGGTAATTTTATTGTAAAGTGGACACCTGAAAGGTGTTGATTGTCTTGTTGCAATTCAGTTGAGTCACTTCAATTGGGATTTTGTAAGCATTCAAAGTTTTTAAAAGTAATTCTACTTTTATCAATAATTGAAAGATTACAATTTTAATACTAAAGGGTGGAAAATAAAATATTTAAAAAACAATAATGAATTTTAAAAAAAAAAAGAAGACTTTCTTTCAAAGACGAGTTGAAACGCACTAAACAGTAGAAAGTCTGTGCAGTAAATATTTTCAAAAATTAATAAAAAAATTTAAGTTTTGTCTATATTCATTTTGAATCCTTTGGCTGCATAGAGTGCTCATCTACACTTCTGCACAGTCTTTCTTTGTGTAATTGTACTGCATTTTATGAAATTGTAAATTATTTTCTACTTTTTAGTACGTTTTGTACTTTTGCCTTCAGTGAAGTTTGACTGGCAAAATGGCATACAAAAACTCATCAACTTGCACAAAACTGCAACATGATGCACAGGCTGAATTAAAAAAAATTAAGAATCCAAATTTACGCTTAAAATTGATATTTTGAGCATTCAAAATAAATTTTATATAATAAAAAGGTGAAGAAAAAATCAAGTTATAATCAACCGGTCACTTGTGACAATAGTCAATACTACTTTAAGAGTTTAAATTTTTGTGTTGAATTCAATTACCTCGCAATATTTTCTTTGATATTTTTTAACATTTTTTAGCTTAAAGATTTTCACCAACTTCACACCATTTTAGGAATCATAAACTAATAACACAAGCTAAGACAACTATTTGGATTTTAAGAGCTTCTTCCATTATTCCTTAAAAAATAGCCTAGAGTAGTAGCTTTTAAAAATATTAACAAAGAGTGGCTAATTTTCTTTCAACTGAAGACGCTGCATTGTTTCTGAATTAGACTAATAAAACAAAGTTTCACCATTATTACATATTACAGTAACCTGTGCCTTTGAAGAATCTCTTTGACTTCCACAATGGCTGAAGGCACTTCTACTTATCAAGATATTTCTAAAATGGAATTTAACACAGTTGAGCTACCCTCAACAATAGAAATTAAAGAGTCATCTATACACAAAGGAGAAGCAGGTAAAAAAAATATTGATAATTAAACTCGTACTCATAAGTTTAATTTATAACATAATTCCACTAACACTGAAACCGATTTTGAACTGTGTAAACTCTTAACTTCATTTAATTTCCTTGCCATTTTTTTCTCTAGGGGCATTTGCAAAGGTTTTGATACCAAAGGACACTAGATTTGGACCCTATAAGGGAGAAATAATAGATGTTAACATAAAAAAGTACATAGATTACAGGTTTGCATGGGAGGTAAGAAATAGTATATACATGTTTTTGTTTTTTGGGGTTGTTTTTTTTTATTTGGACTCAACATGTACAGAATATCTGAAATGTATGTAAAGAATTTTCCTATAGTGAATTTATAGGAAATGATTATATTATGCTGCATAAGTTTTCTGTTTGATTTAGTATCACATTATGGTTTACTATAGCTCATAAATTTAAACCTTGTTTACTAGTTCACTCCTATAATATTTTGCTGAAGTTTTTGAAACTTGTGCCTTTAGGTCTTTGAGAAAAACAGTGATGTGCTGAAACATACCATTTGTGCAATGGACCCCATGTTAAGTAACTGGATGAGGCACGTAAACTGTGCACGATTTTATGAGGAACAGAATATACTTTCTACACAAGAGGACTTCAGTATTTTCTATGTGGCAATGAAGGTAGTTACAAAAAATATTCTGATACATCTGATACGTTATTTCAATTTCATATTTTCATAGCATTATGTCACACAAGTTGCTTCACTGCTTAAAAAATTTTGAATTTAACTTTTTTTTGCTTTTCTTTAGTATTAACATATTTAAAATTGAATGGAATTTTCCAGGATATAAAGCCAGGAGAAGAGCTTCTAACTTGGTTTGATCCTAAACTGATAAAAAGAACTAAAAGACGTTTGTCCAAAATGGAAAGAAAGCCTGTTGGTTATACCATAGGTTAGAAAAAATTTAATTTTTTATTTATGGGGGCTGTAATTTTCACCACCGAAAATATAATACCCCCAGAACATTGATTTGGAATGATAGCACCATTTATATTATATTACCATTTTTTTATTATCAACACCAAAGGCAGCTTATCGCACATTAACCTAATCGTGGTGTCTGTATGCCGAGGGATCTTTCTTAAAAACATAGCAATTGGATGTCAGTAAAAAGTGTAAACTTATATAATTAAGTATGCTCTATTTTTGTTTGGACATCAAAACGCTAATTTGCTATGGAAAATAAGATAATTAAAAAAAACTGTACTGATACACAAAAATTCCATTGCCTAATTCATCATTATGTATGAAAGTTAAACTCAACAAAATGATGTGCATTTGACCTATGTATGCTCTTAACACTTTCAGAGCTTGTCCCTTGGAGTGATGAGAAAAAATTTGTTCCAGAAATCATTGAAACAAAGAGGGCTCGGAAGAAAAAAGTCTTGAGGGACATGATAAGCCTTGATGAAGATCCTTTACTGATCACAAGGACGCTCCAACGCCTGCCAAAGCTTCCATGTACCCCAAAGCAGCTTGCCCAGTCAGCTGCTTACAGAGATATTTATGCTTCATTGCTGCAACAGGGTGCATCTACAAAGTCAGGAAAGCAAGAGGCTAAAAAAGACAGATTGGGGAAGAAATTAAAAGGACAAAGTACAACAATCACTTCATCAGCATCTGTAAGCACAAATAAAAAAATTGTCTCATCAACGTACCCAAATGTAAAGCAAATTGATTTTCCCTCTCAGGGAAACGCTGGATTATTAGTGTCTTCAATGGAAAAGAAAACTGACTCAACGGGTCAAGTCAAGTCCCATCAACAACAGAGCCCAAGCTTGTCTTCAGTGAAAAACAACTCTTTTATTAAGCCAATTGAAACAAATACAATAGCCCAAAGCCCTTTAAAGCCAAGAAGACCAAAGCCACGGAACAAAAACAGAAGCAGGGTTTGTCTTAGTGAAATGGTACCACCCAAACCAACAGTCATTAGAAGGACTGAAGATGGGTCTACTGTTATTGAGGATCATGATGAAACTTACACTCTTAAAAATGTTAACCTTCAAGTTGAATGTGATAATCAGTGCCAGTGCCTTGATAAGCAGCAGGCCAGCAGAAGCTTATCACACAGCTTCATCAGGAATGAGAAGGCTGCCTCTAGCGTTTTTGTAATACAGTTCAGCTTGCTGCCAGAGCACAGATTGGTGACACCTTCAAGTAAGGTGATTTACAAGTGTGATATTTGTGACAGCGCTTACAACCATGCATTCAGTCTTAAGAGGCACTACCTCGGTGTTCACATCAACCATCGCTACCTGACAAGCAGCGACATTCAAAGCTGCCAGATTGAAACATTCCACACCGGTGTCCAGCTGGAAGTTAATGAATCAGGTGTTTTTAATATATCTCCTGGATTTCAAGGTGTGGGAAATTCACCCCTGCCTCCTTTAAAAGATACCACATCATCACCCGCTGTAACTGAGGTGCATGAAGTGAATGAAAATAGTTCATTTTGTGACAGTGCTCTCAAAAACATTACAACTAAAGAATTAATACCAACACTGTCAGACTTGTCAAAAATAGTAGTAAATAGAGCAGAGAGTTTACAGAACGATGTAAATCAAACCAGGGGCAAAAGTAAGCAGTCAAGTTCTGTTTTAGAATCTGCTTCATTTGTAGACAAGAGCATTTCACCTCAGGTAAAAGAATTTTCAGAACCTTTTGACATAGTCTCAAGTTCAGAAATGGACAAACAGAACAGTGTCAGGCATAAAGGGTCAACTCAGGGGAGTCAAACTTCTGCTTGCCTTGAGGTTTCATCAAGCTCTGACATACAAAAGCCCTTAATCAATTTTAACAAAGAAAATTCACCTCTCATGTCATGTGCAGATTTTGACATTTCTAATGGAAATAGTGTAACTGAGTCAGGCGAAATTAAATCTGGAGTGGAAGATTTCACACCGTTAAATAATGGTAAATCCACTCCAACCGTTATGTCACAGACGTCTAACTCCATCACACTGGTTCCTGAGCCACAGGAGACTTTTGTAGTCCAACATTTGAAAAAACTCTGTGAAAAGCAGTTGTGCTCTGTAGATACTGGTAGTTCTTATGTAGCTGAAGTCAGAGGTAAGATCCCAAAGACCGGAGGCTTCCCAAAATTTGATGAAGCTGCACAGCAGTCTTTTATTGATCCAGTCTCTGGAAAAGTCATGGGTGACAATACAGGAGATGCAGATGACAATTTAGTTTCTACAGGCTTGGGAACCAACATGAATGTTGTCTCCAATTCTGTCAAGCTGTCTTTATATGAAATGGATACATGCACAAAGGTTTCAAATACCACCAAAACCAGTGGTGATGCTACTAATAATCAGACCGAAGAGTCTTCCTTGTTAGATGAAGAACATTTGAACTCATCTTCGCAAGATGAATATGAACGGAATACACTAAATTGTGAAAGTGAATGTGTTCAGAAACTAGTCTGTCCTGAGGTTTTGGATTCTCTTAGCGGTGAAGTGGATGTAAAAGAAACATCAATGTGTACCAGTGATGTGGAAAATGAATTAACTGATTCAGTCCTTAGGCACTGTGCAGCAGTTGTTCCAGTATGCAAAAATGACCTTCCGAATGCATCTAAAGATAATTCAACTGATTCCAATATTAATAGCAAGGTATTTAGTTCATCAACTGTGAATGTTGATGCAGTATCCCTTGACTCAGGCTGTAAGCCAGCAACTGAGATGGATGCTACCTTGTTATTTGGTACAGACAAAGATGGCCCTGAAGCATCAACCATTCCACAGCCAAATGAAGACACCGAAGTAAATAAAACACGGTCAGATCCACACACCACTGTAAACACCACTGAAGTAAATAAAGCCCAAATGACCCCAGCCATAAATAGCAATCAAAACATTGAGTCATCTTCTGCTCAGACATCCAGTTGTTCCCCCTTGTGTAAAGCTCCGCTTAGTTCTGTCCCAGTGCAAGATCCTGCCTCCAAAGCACTGATAAACAAAACAGATTCATTCAACTCGTGTTTTTCAAAAATTTCTACTCCAGTCACTCCACAGCAACTTATCTTTGTTACAAATATAGTCTTCCCAATAGTGGCACCCTCTAATGCGCATTCACCTACCTCTGCCCTGTCATCGTTGTCACAGCAACAGTCACAGCCAACCACCAACACTGCTGGCTCTGCAGGCCAGAGCACTTTAAATAGTCCAACAGCAGGAGTGCCGCTGGTTCTCATCTCGCAAATTCCGCATGGTCTGAATGCTGCCAATGCCTTCCTTCAATCTTCAACAGCTTTGAAGACCTTCCAGACATTGCAGAAATCTATTAATGTTGTCAGTCTTGGGAACACTGCTACCATGCTAAGTGGAGCCCATGGAAATCTGAGACTTTCAACTAGTGGAGCCCCTCTGACAGGAGACATGTCCACAGTGTCTAGAAATTCACTTATTGGTAAAGCTTCCATAGTATGTCAGGTGTCATCATCATCACAGCTAGCCTCACAACTAACATCACATAGTGGAATTCAGGCTTTCAACTTTATTCCATCTACATCTTCATCAACTCCAGTCTTACAAGATGCAAGACTTACCAGTCTTCAAGCCCACCCTCCTCATAGTTTAGCCCCTCCTGTAAAAAACCCCAGCATAACTGGTCAGCCAGATGACCTGTACAGATGCCACATGTGTGTTTTGCTGTTTCAAACCATGAATCAACTCAAGCACCATATCAAGAATGACCCTCATCGGTTTAAAGGTTGTCTTAAGCAGTATGCCTGTGTCCAGTGCAGCATGAGGTTCTCAAACAAGACAAATTTGATTCGACATAATCTCATGAACCACCAAGAGGATGAAAGTAAGTATGGAATGTAAGGTTTATCTTGTAGGACAGCATGAATCTTTTCATTTATTTTTGTAAATTTGTTTATGTGGCAAATGTTATGTATTCGTGTACAAACACAACATATATTTCTTTAGAATTGTCCTCTGTTAAAAATGTAAACATTACAGATATGTAATGGTTAAAATTTTTGAATTTCAATTTTATTTAAAACTTAATGTTTAAACATCATGAAACTCCCCACAAAGAATGTCCAATTAAGTCATGATTTAAAGATACTGGTAACTCGGAAATGAGTGGGGGAAAAAAGTATGGGAAAACCTGAAAAAAGGCTGCAACTGATACACATTGGTAACTTGAGAATGTTACTATAATTAAAATTAGGTTTCCTGCTGTTTTACACAGCATTTAGATGCAGGCTGCATTTGTAGTTGCAATTTATGTAAACAGTACTTTTTTAAATGAAAATAAATAAAATTTGTGTAAAATCTGCGTAAGTAACACCAGTTGTAGAGTTGGTAAATGGTCTTTTTCAGCTAATTTTGAAATAAATATGTGGTATAAAAGCGTATGAGTCATTGGAGTAATATAATTCAGGTGCATGAAAAAAATGTGCCGTTGGGAGAGGGAGCACTAATTGGGAGAGGGAGCACTAATTGGGAGAGGGAGCACTAATTGGGAGAGGGAGCACTAATTGGGAGAGGGAGCACTAATTGGGAGAGGGAGCACTAATTGGGAGAGGGAGCACTAATTGGGAGAGGGAGCACTAATTGGGAGAGGGAGCACTAATTGGGAGAGGGAGCACTAATTGGGAGAGGGAGCACTAATTGGGAGAGGGAGCACTAATTGGGATCCTTATAAAGTGCGTTACTTGTAGGCATGTTTTGTCCAATTTTCAGCCCCCCCCACCCCCAAAATTGCTTGCTATTACATTTTATAAAGGATTTATACCAAAAACCTTGTTTTTAAGGGTTGTCAATAATTGAAGTTTTTTAAAAAAAAGGTTGTAAAAACTAAGCACTGTATCTATAAAATAAAACTTTGACATAAGCCCATTAGTGTCACATATCTAATATTTAGATATCAATTTTGTTTAGTAAAATAATGTATTGTTTTGTTAAATATAAATAACAGGAAGATAGGAATGATGGGATAGAGGGGTAACAGTCATGAATGTTTGGTAGGGATTCCTATATTTGGCACTGGCCATGTTCATTTGAGTTATTAACAGCATCTTAATGCTCATTTTGTGAAACAGAAGAAGTTGTATGAAGGATTATATTTGACTCTGATCTACAGAGATATTGTTTTATTGTGTGTCCGTTCATCAGTCAATAAAAGTGGTGGTGCTAATTCCTCTGGTACTTATTTGGATAAACATGGTGGACGTATGTAAAATGTGGATGCACAGTATAGTATAAGTGATAATTACAACCCTACAAGTAACAACATCATAACACATACAACTGTATTTATGATTCGTTACAATACCAGTGTAAAGTTTGATGCCTTTAATCATTAGGTTATTTTGCAGCTACTCATTTTGTTCAAATAGAAATCTACAATGGGGAATTGGCTTCACAAATTATAAAAAAACAATGGTTCCATTAATAATGACACTGACTTAATTTTCTATATTTTGTTAAAATTGTTAACAGATTGAATCTCCGCATTCTACTGCCATAGCAAACATATATTGTGTAACAATTTATTGAAATAACCTGTCAACTTTACCTTTCTAGTGGCCTGCTATTACCATTATAATGTCACCTTAGTCTACTTATGATAAATAAAACAAGATGGTCAACTTAGTCTACCTATTATCAATTTTAATTCACTAAGTCCAACAGAAATGTTTTCTTCCTTTTTAAATTATGACAATTATTGTCTTTCCTGCTACAGTTGTCATCTGTTGTATTTTTTTCAGATTTCAAGTTCCGTTGCTATACATGTGGAAAGGGTTTTTCAACTGAGACATACCTGAAAATGCATGCCCGTTTTCACTCTGGCAAGAATTTCCCTTGCAAATATGGATGTCCTGGTGTTTTCTTTCCTAATGCAGCCTCTCTTGTCAAGCACTTACGAACTCAGCATGCTGGCCTTGACCTTAAAGAATACACAAAGAATGTTAAAGCTGAAAAAGCACGCAGAAAAAAGATCAATCGTGTCTTTGGCATGTCAGATGAACAGTTTCCCAACATAGGCTTGCCAGAAAAGGAGATTAGGGTAAGTTCTATGCCATACAGCCTCAATCAGCCTGGAATTGGCTTTCAGGCAAAACGAGTGAAAACAAAGTCACCCTTGACCTCTTCAACACCTCCTGACATGAAATCCCTGCAAAGTCTAGTACTTGAAAAACCAAGTGACCATTTGATGATGAAGGAGGAAGTTAAAAATATAATCCCTCAAGCTCCAAAGTTTCAGTTTAAATGTAAGCTTTGTGACAAAGGCTTCACCACCCACCTTCGCTTACTGCAGCACAGAACTCAGAGGCATGGGGCCAGCCAATCCGTCCAGGAATATCTCTATCACATGTCAAAAGATGTCAATGAAGATGACAGTGCACATTATGATTCAGACCAATGTGAGTTTTCTCCACCACAATCTCCAAAGACTTTCTTTGCCAATGTAAACAGACGTGGCTTTTTTAACATGAAACATCACATAGATGGGGGCACTGAATCTTTGCTCAGCTGGAAGAAGCACCTGCAGGTCGAAGGGTTTGTTTCTATATCTGAACCCACACTACCTAAGGAAAACACTGATCCGAAAATGGAGTGGACCTTTTACAATTTTCCCCTTTATTTTCAGTACCAAGCAGATTGCACTCAGTTTTATGAGGAAGAGTTGGTTGTGCCCAAGTTAGAACAAAATGCTCTTAGCCAGCAGCTAGTCAATGAAGCCGGTGCTCTTGGCCAAATTGTCCATGAACCTGGCCAGAGTCAAGAAATTGATAGTCTCACATCCACACATAAAAGTCAACTAGAGGAGCTAGTGTCAAAGGATGGCTTTCTGAGTGGTGTCTCAGGACCAGTCACTATTAAAATAGAAGCTGAAGAATGCAGTTTTGGTGTGAAGAGTCAGGAAAGAAGTTCTTACATCATAAGTAAATTAGAACAGCATTTGCAAGGCTATTATGGGCAAGAGCAGTCCAAGGCAACTGATGAAACCCTAAGCAAGGACTTCGGTTCAAATAAGTCTGTATATGACAATCACATAAAATCTGAAGTTTTTTCAGAAGATGAAGATATAAATGATAAAGCTAACAATCAAAATTCATTAGTAACAGACAACTACAGTATCTCGAATACCAAAACTAAGGGGTTTAATGGCAATGGTAAGGATTCTAGAAGTAACTGGCCCTTGGGAATCAACAAGAAAACTACCAATACTTGTGAAGAAGATTTGGACAGAGTTGTCCAGAATAAGGTAATAAAACTTGAGGAGAATTGTACTGATGATGATGCTGCAGACCCTTCGGCCTTTAATGGACTAGACAGTGGAATCAGCTCCCTGTCTTCAAGTGAATGTCCTAGTCTTGACTGCTCCCGGCCAGCTACATGGGACCAAAAGAATTTGGTTGATTCCAGAGACCATATCTCAGAACCCAAGGAACTAGGTGTTGTTAAAACTGTTACTAAGATAGGCAAGGAAATTGATAAGAAGAAAAATCTTTCAGCTTTTTCAATGGCAGAAAAGATTTCCGCATTGAAAAGTACATTTATGCAGAGCATAAATCTTGAGTCTGGACTAAAAACGTCTGCAAATGTGAACAATTTGCCTCAGCCAATTAACATTGACCATTCTTTGACTTTAATACAAGCTTTGAATTTGCATATCACAGGCAGCCAATTGCCAATGTCAAAAATTTTGGCAATGATAGAAAAAAATCAGGACCTCCATTTTTATCCAACGGCAGTGACCGGCAGAAACAGAACCGTCTCCTTGTCGTCTTTAGGGCCTGTGTTGCAGAACAAGGAGCCGCAGAGCAATTTTGATCCAGTCCTGAATACATCAGATTCATTAAAGCACGACCACCGCCGCTACTCCATTTGGAGCGGCCAGGTGCATCCAAAGGTGTTAAAAGACCCAGAGGAGAACACATTTTGTTGCCCCGTGGTTGAAACTGTCCGTAAACAAGAGATGCTGAGGCTTAAAGAACAATATGTTTTTGAGAAAGATACCAGAGATAAAGAAGTAGAAAGCAAGCAGACTCAAAGTGTACACGCCAAATTGGATTTTATCGAAAAGATGGGCTTGATGACCCGTAAAGAATTTGAGCTCTCCCATCATGCAAAGAAACGGGAGGAACACATCATTAAACCACCAGAGATCTGGAGAAATTATGAGAACATTTGGTTTGGTAAGAAAGGAACCATAACTGTTGTGTGCTCTATATGCCATAGACACTTCAGCTGTTGGGACTTGTGTCTTCGCCACCAACTCAAAAAGCACCCCCACATCGAACCTGCCTCGTTGGAGATGGAGAGGGACAATGATGTTGAAGATCTATACTATTACTACCCTATGAGATATGGTATTCTGGCACAAACCCAGCTGATCCCAGATGATCTTCCATCAATTGAGGTTTATGTTTGCACACGGTGTGGGTTTCCGTTCAAGAACATTAACAGGCTTCATTCTCACATCATTGCATGCGACCCTGCTCAAGAGGAGGTTGTTTCAAGTCAGAATGGAAACCAAAAGCTGTCCTACATGAAGAAGAAATTGCTTCCTATGATGGACAGAAGGCTGCACCAAGACCCAGATCCTCCAGCTGCTAAAAGTAGAGCTGGTAAATCTGTAAAAACTTCAATTCAGTCCGAGTCTAATCGTCAACAAAGTAAATTGTCCACACGACAGTCTGGTAATGTGATCTGCAGTTTGCCAAAAGCCCCAGTGAAACCAGTGAAATCTCAACAGAATCATGCAAACTTCTCAACAAATTTCTCATTCTACTCTGGGAAAAAGCACAAAAATTATGAGCTACTCTACAACCCACAAAATCACACAAGACGGAGGGAGCAGTACAAAGTACTTGATCAACACCAGTGCCACGGCTGTAACCTGAAGTTCAAATCTCTGTCCATGTTGGAGAGACATGTGAAGAAATGCAGTGGGCGTGACAAGCTTCAGAGTCAGAAACCCTTGGTCAGCCAGGTCATGCCCGATGATGCTGCCTTGAGGAAACAGCACACATGTCGCTACTGTAGCAAACGCTTCACTTTCATCAAAGGTGTTGACCTGCATTACAAGAGAATCTGTTCTGTGCGGAAGGTGAAGGAAGATGAAAACCTGCTGACCAGGGAAGACCTGGCTCATGAAGAGGAACTGAAGCGAATCATTGAGCATTTGAAGTGGAGCAAAACATTAAATAAAGACAGCAGTGACATCATTCAAGGCCATGTCCGAGTTGAGGAAGATGGTACACTGACAAGGGTGGTAAAGTCACGAGGTGGGGCAAGAAGTTTAAAGAAAAACGTTAAAAAGAAATCTTCAAAGTGGACTTCCATGAAGAAGCACGGAAATGAAGAAGAATCTTCTTTGTCCTCATCCATTTCCAACACAACTCAAAGTTTGTCCAACTCCATGGAAGATACGAAAACAAAACCAGAGGCAGTATTTGCAGAGAGTCTAGAGAAGCTGGGCAAAAGGCTGACAAGGAGTTCCAGCTTGGAGAAGATTTCACCTAGCTCTGGAAGTGGTCTGAAAAGAAAATCTTCAGTACCGGTATCAGTGTTAGATGGGCTCCCTACTGGTAAGAAAAACAGAAGTCTTTCACAATCTTCTTCTTATAGTTCTTTAAAGAATGAGGATTACAGTACTGCTACTGAAACCAGGAGTGGCACATCCAGAAAAAATGGAGCCACTTCTAAAAAAAGGGGTAAAAGTGCACAGAGAAATGCTCCAACTCGAAAAGTCAGAGAAACAAAGAAGAAAATTGAGAAGTCTTCTCAGAAACGATCCAACTCTAAAGGAGCAGTCCAAGGGGGGCATGAGAAATCTCCAGGTATTCAGTTGCCTGCTCGCAAGAGAGGCAGGCCTCTTAAGTATGATCCCAGTGACACTGTTTATTTAAAGAAAAAGAAGCCAAGAAATTCGACAAAGCAAAGAGTGACTGGAAAAGAGAAAGGAGATGAAAAAAAGTCATTAAGTAGACCATCAAGAAGTAAAACCACTTCGAGGGTCAGCAAAAATGAAATTGTTTGTGAAACCTGGGAAAGTAAGCAGAAAGCAAAGACATCTTCAAAGACAAAGAAACAGACTGGCATAAAAAATAATCAGCCCATTGACACATCAATGATGATTGAGAAGATGAAACAGCTGAAAGAAGCAGCAAAACTTGAATCTGAAAACATCAACAAGACCAAGAGGGCAAACCAAGCCAAAAGAGCAGAGCTGAGAAAAGTGTCTGCTTCCAAGAAATTGGAGAAATCAGCTACCCTGGTTGGTGCAGGTCTTGTATCACGTGACTTGTCCCCAAACAAACATTCCACAGAGCTTTTCAAACATCTGACAAAGGGAAACTGCAAGTCCTCAACTGTAAAAGAGATCCAGTCAAGTAGTACTAATTCTTTAAAGGAAAAAAGTACCCTGCAGAGTCCATTATCAAAGTCATCATCCATTTCAACTTACAATACCTTAAAGAGAAAATCATTAGAACATGCGTCGAGTGCTGGTACTTCTCAGTCAAAAAAATGTGCATCCTCACCTCGCAGTCCAACCGTCCAGATCCAATCTAAATCTTCGGGGAAATCCAAAAATTACTCCACTTTGAGGACCAACACAGCAATTTCTCCAAAAGAATTGACAAAAACAGATTCCTCAAAAGTCATTGAAAAAACTCCAACTCAGCCAGCTCCTGCCAAATCTTCTAAATCTTCCTGTTCTGAAGTTTCAAACCCAGTCCATAAACAGCAACCTGTTTCTGTCCGAGTAGTCACATTGTCACCAAATGGAATGAACCTTCTAACCTATGACACCCCTCCTGGAGATTTTAAAAGCTCTGTTGCTAGAATGTCATCCTCATCAATAAAGCTGTCTCCGGACATATCTTCTATACAGCAAACAAAAAAGGTATCGACATTGCGAATTCACAAGGAGCCCATACAAATTCTTGGGAAATCCCCAGTGCCGCTTGTTGGCAAGGGGCCTCAAAGCCAGAATCCAGAGCAGACACTACAGTCAATGGAAAAAAACCAGGGCACAAATTTTGTTATTCAGAAACCCAACCAGGTGATTCAAAAACCTAATCAAGTCATTCAGGTTCCAGGTCTCAAGATGAGCACAACAGGAAATCACATAGTTTACAAATGTACTGAAAGCCCAGCAGATAAGGCCAAAGATTTGATGGTTGATCCTAAGCCTGGGAACCAGATGATACTTAAGTGCACAGATGGACGTCTGATGCATGTGGTTTCGGATGAGGACATGTGCACATATGAAGACAGTGATGACTTGCTTGCATCAGTGGAGAAGCAGAGACTGAGTGCTCCAGTGGCCACGACACCTGAATCACCATCAGCATTAATGGCTGTAGTAAGCACGCCAAAGTCCTCTGCATGTCACGCTGTTCAAAAGCAAGGTGGTGTGATGAATATTTGTACCAAACCAAGTCCTTCCATACTCATCTCTCATGCTCTTACAAGCCAAGGAGAGCAAATGAAAGGAGGGTTTATCAAACAAGTGCAGGTGGTGAAAGATGCAGGTGAGAGTGAAAAGGTTCATTTTATCAGCCCATCAGTTATTTCTCAAGCTGCTGTTGCATCAAATGTCCAAATGTGTGGTCCCATTCTAACACCAGGGAATGTTTCCACTGTTCTTGCTGCTCCACAAGTGACAAAGCAGACCACAGCATCTTTAGTGTTGCCAGTTTCTGCAAAAGGTTCAAAATTTTATACTCCTTCTACAAGATTTGGTTTACCAAGTCCAGAGTTACCAAACATTGTCCATGGAGGTATAGTTCCGACAGGCACTAAAGTTCTAAAACTAGGAAATATAATTAGTGCTGGGGCATCAATGACTCGACCATTAACAGAGAATGTTGTTTCTCAGGTAGGGAAAAATACAGGCCTGCCAACAATAGTCACAGAAAGGTCCAATCTTCTCAATCCTCGCCAGGTGCAGCGAGTTGCCACTCCGGTTATTCGCCAACAACCCCCATTTACTCAAAAAACGACTGGCTGCACTCCAAGATCCCAAGTTATTACCTTTGGTAGATCAGCCCAAACGAGCAATGTTCAAACCGTGTTAATCCAACATTCTCCCAATTCTTTGTCTCAGCCTGTCCAAATTCAGCAGCCGACTCCAAGAAACATTCTCACACTCCCTGCATCCTCAAACATAGTTCCAAGTGGTCAAGTGTATCCATCGAGTACCAGCAAAGTTGTGACCAATCGACAACCTCGAAATGTTCAGCGGCCAAGCTCGCTGCTATCAAACCAAATCATGATAAGCCTTGATGATGGAACTACAGCCATGCTGGATCCTGATTCCTTGGCTCAGTTCTTATCCATGTCACCATCTCTCAATAAGAATGAGATGGAATCAATCACTGGTGCCAACACTGCCACCACAGACCCAGAGCATGTTATGGTCAACATGGCAGAAATTCAACCCAGTTGTCATGTCGATGAAATCACCTGGCCCTCTAATGGCTCTGTAGATTTGACTGATTTGCCAGACTGCACCAGCGACTTTTAATAAAACTTTTAGCACTATAAAATATCATAACTCGGTTTTCATACCAAAATATGTTAATTTGGGAAATTTTAATGAAAAATACTGTTTCAAGTGAGCTTCAAGTGATAGGCTGTCATTTAGGAAATGCACAACATAGCGATGAGCCAAACCTCTGTTGTGTGTGGCAAACAGAAGGGCTGAAGCTGGTAACCTCTTAAAGCTAGTCATAACAGTTACAAAATGATAACTTTCAATTAGAGATGATACAATCATCTGTTGACATTTTCTTAACTGATGACTAGGTGAATTTAGTAATTTCTTTTCATTGAGTTCTACTTCTACTTCTAGTAACTGCTAGTAAATAATTCTGAATTTGTTAATGAACGGCTAAGTAAGTTTTTCTAATTCATAGTTCACACTGCTTTGTTTGTTTCTTTCTTTATTAAGTTTAATTTTTTTTTTACAATTGCATGTCCCATGGTATACCTGGTACTTTCAATGATAATAGATATAGCTTCTGCTACATCTTTTACTAATTAGAAGTAACATTTTATGTTAAGTCTTTTTATTAATTTTGTGTGTGTTTGTGTCAATGAGGAGGTGGCCAAAGATCACTTTCCTGAAAATAGAGTGCAATTAAAAAAAAAAAAAAGTCAAATTTTCAGGGGTAACCCCCCCCCCCCCCAATCATGTTTACTTTTTTTGGAAAACACCCCTATGCCTAAGTGCAATGAGCTTTCAACACAAACACCCTCTCACCCCACCCCCATCAGCAAAAGATAATTATGGCATCACTGTAAAAAAAATATTTGTCACATGTTTTCAATGCTGTTTGGTGAGCCCAGTTTTTCCCAAAATATCCACCGCTTCTCTCTGGGGTACCACTTGCCCTCGGGAAGGACCATAAGAAAGGTGCACAGGGGGTACTTGTCCAGGGCACCAACATCAAGAGGCGCAAAATGGTCTGAAGATGGTAACTTCATAGTGATTAAAACTATAAAATACTATGTACTTCACAAAAGCCAGGGGTGCCAAAAATTTTTATTTTTACTGGCTTGTCCAGAGTGGCATTTTTCTTTTTATTGAGGTTGCCTATCTTCCTCTGCACGAACCTGCCCTATGTTTTGGGGATTCCTGACGGGGGCACAGTCATCTATTACATGTTACATCAGTTACTCACCAATAACTTTGCAAATACAAGATGACACAGATACATTTTTATTTATTTTTACCCAAGCGTTCATTTCAATATATTTTTTTTTTATTTGCTATTATGAAGTTTATTTGTAAGTATTTAATACAGGATGCCCATCTCAAATATCAATCTTTCTAAATCTGTCTTTTGCTTATAATATTTTTAAAAATTACTTTCTGGTCTTCAAGGATATTGTATAGTTGTATTGTACTAATAGTACATCATAAAATAATGCCTCTCCCTACGCACACACAGGACAGGGGCAGCATGATATTTTGGTAAAGAACCTGAGGAGATGTAACCATGTGGCGTCATGTCTCAAACTTGCTTTCTGAATACTGCTTGTACACAACGCGCTGAACAAGCATTCCTTTGTTTATATTAGATGAGCTACCTCTAGTACCGGTATATTGGTCTAATTTTCCAATATGTATTTTATTCTGGAACGTGATATATGATTGTTAATCTGATTTTGTACATATTAAATAACTCATGCTCTGAAGAAATAGAATGTTTTGTTATGGTATGTATAAAAATATTGAAATGCATGTAAGTTAATTCTTTTTTCCCCAGTTCATGATTCCTTTGTCAAATTATGTCAAGTGAATTAACTGGAACCAAGATTATTAATTAAAGTTCAAATTATATTATCTGATGGTTTCCATTTCTTGATTTGTAATGTTGTGTTTCAAGCTATATTGTTTTACTCAGATAATAAAAACACACTTATGAAAAAATTTGACAACAAAGTATTATTGATACATAAAAACATTTATTTACATGTTTAAAATTTTGTGCCCAAACATAATTTTAAGCACCAAAAACTTCATGTCATTGAATAAAAGTCACGAGTGTTTGAACATCTAAAATATTAGCTGGGTTTATTTTCTACTACCGGTAGTTCATTTTAACTCATTTAAGTGTGTAACATAGCAACACATTGAAAATGTCTAAATAACAGGTTAATTTTCTTAAAACTTTTTAACTTGTGAGCCAATAAAATTGATTTTTTTCCAGCAATTATTGAATCCTTAAGCACTGGATCTTCTGGGTTTAATATTCAATATTACCAGTGTTGCCCATCTCTCCACCACCTGCCCCAAACCTAGGTGGAGGTGGCCTCATTCCAGGTGGTGGCCCTCTCATACCCCTAGGAGGCATGGGTCCTCTGGGGCCATTCATGTGCATGTTGTTCATGGGTCCTCTCATTGGCCCTCTCATATTGCCAGGTGGGCCTGAAAATAAGAAAAGTAATTAGATAGACACAAATAACACCCCCCCTTCCCAACATCTAACTGTTCCTGACAATTCAGTTTTGGCCATTTTGGTAATGAATGCAGATGGTATAAGGTTCTCAACCTTTTTTATTCCCTGGACCCCTTTGCCAATGACATGAGAAAGCCATGGACCCCTGCTTAGAATAAAGTGTTTAACGTGTATCATAACATTACAGAGATTACAGAGGAAATTCAACTCAAAGGGCCTCAGGTTAAGTAACTCTTGTCTAGAAAAAAAATTATTTACATAGGCGTACACAATTTACAGATAGCTCACACCGGTACTGTAAAAGATAACTAAGAATTTTATTGAGGCCATGTGACTAAAATAAAACTTACCAAATCCCATAGGAGGGCCTCTAGGGGGCATTGGGCCCCGCCATCCAGGAGGCGGGGGTCTCATGCCAGGCGGTGGTCCAGGCGGTCCATAGTTCATACCTCCCATCTGTCCCTGAGGGCCCATCCCTTGCATCTGGTGGTCTAAAAAACAAAGGTAAATGTGTTATTCAATATGTGTTGCCAACTCAATTTTACATAAACAAAACTGAAAAAAACTAACTTTTCCTTCTAAAATTAATTTCTTTATCTGGGTCAGTGAAAAACCTAATAACATTTATCTCATCTAATGGGCACTAACTATTATAGGTATTTATATCTCAGTAGCCACCATACCAACGGATTCCTAATTCACAGTGTAATCAAATTTGATATAAACTCTTGGCAACCCACTTATCTGTATTATTTGAATGCATGGCACATTTTATATTTATAATTTAGTCACATCATGTTATTTATTACTGATTTTAAATTTAAATCAGAAAATAATCAATCAAATTATTCCCTTTGTTCAATATCCACCTGTGGTAAACCTGAAATCCTTTGCAAAGTACCATGCCAGAATTGTTTGAGGAATACTAACACAATGACTGGTAATTTAAAAAAATCAACTTTTAACTAAGTTGGTTTACATCAAATCAAGCAAGTCTTAGTGGAACAAATGCATATTTTAAAATCCCTTTGGTGACCACTGTTTCAATGCATGCACATTTCTATCTAAAAAGATAACAAATCAACCAGTGAATTGAATGAAAGTAAAAAGCGCTCAGAGACTTACTTATTTCTGTTCTGGTACAAATTTGGTAAGAACATTCTAATTTATACAGATTTTTAACATAAATTTCAAGTGCTTTCACCGCAATAGTGAAGGGTAATATGTGAGGGCCGCATTCAAGCCTTGTAAAGTAAATAGTCGAGCAAGATATGTTTAGGCTTGAAATTAAAAGACAAGACAACTGCCTTGTCTTATTTTCAAGCCGCAACATATCCTGGTCCACTATTTATTTATAGTAGTGATGGCACTGTGATAGCAGTATACAGGAATGTGAAAATAACAAACCAGCACCAGTACCCGGTTAAGCAAATAACTAAAGAATTGTTACTAGAGTGATTTAATGTGATAATTATTATATTTTATCATTTAATCCAGTTCACATTAGAAGTCTTTGTAAATTAACTGACCAACAACTATGTAAAACGGATATTGTTATGGACACTGTTTTCAATTTGTGAGAAGGGACCATAAAGAACAAGATATGGGGCAAGCTTGAAATATGGAACAAGACAACAAACACAGAAAATTTAATTTCACATAAAAATAACTTACTCATCATGTTGTTTGTATTGTTCATCATTTGGCCTCCACTGTAATCCATACCAGAATTGGACATAGGGGGTGGGGGAGGACGGGGAGGCATTTGGTTGCCTGGAAAATTTTGACCTAAAAAAAAAAAAAAGCTATTTGAAATACGTGCATCATACAACCTCTAATGACAAATGGAAAGTAATTTTTTTTTTTAAATTTGACAAGAAGCAAATTATTGTTGTTAAAATCGTTACAAATTAACAAACAGCCTTGAAAAGCTCATAAAACATTTCTTCAAGTTATATATTCTCTAAAGTTTAATTTTACAAACAATAAACCCAGCTTTTTAGTTAGCAAAGTTTAATTCAAAGTATTTTAGGAATCACCATATAATTTCTATGTAAAAATAAGTTATTATTCATTCATTATACACATTTTATCATATGCACTTTATATTAACTTGACACTTTAAAAAAAAAAAAATGGAGTACCTGGAGGCATGGGAGGTGGAGGCATTCCTGACATAGGCATTGAATAATTTTGTTGCATTCCAGGCGGACCAGGGGGTGGCATAGGTGATGGCGCCGGAGGTGGGGGAGCCATATGTGACATTGAACCTGATGAGAAAATATTCAAGCAGAAATATTGCTATCTTTTAAAAATTTCTGCTATTGCAAACTTATAACATCTCTAATTCAAACCCCATCAAGATTATTTAAAAAAAAAAAAATCCATCAATCTGAGGATCATTACATAAAGTCGGAATATCAGTATCAGGGTAATAATTTATTTATTAATTTGAGAAATATAATTTGGATTACTTACTTTACTTTATAAAAGATATCTCATTATTGGGAACGTACTATTACATAAAAACTAATGTCATCAGTGTATAATGTTTTAACTACAAAGAGTGAAACCTATTTTTTATCTATTGTAAAATAAGCTATGAAGTTGAATGACACATACCCATTCCTGGAGGCAAACCTGGGGGCATTCCAGGAGTCAGTCCCATTGGTGGGGGTGGGGGTGGGACAAGTGTTCCTGGAACACCTTGTGAAAGAGGAGGCTGAGATGGAGGTGGTGGGGCATCGGCAAAGAGCTGATGTGGTCTGCCAGTGAGAGACAATGGATTCTGGGCAGCAAGTAAACGTTCTGTTGAATAGATATATTCAATTTTAAAAACTGAACCATACTTTTTAAGAGGCATTCTTGAAATTGTATGCACTCAAATGGGAACCAAAAATTACTTCAAATAGCTCAATGTATCTCTTCTGAAAGACATCAAGAAGTTTTATTTTTTTATGACATCTATACACCATCAATGATGTAAACAAAATTTACCAAAGAACAATTTTTCTTGTCCAAGGATTCAGCTTTGCTGTAGTAAATTAATTAATTATTTTCTTTGACATTACACATCAAATATTTATTGTTGATTAAACTATGTAATTTTGTTGTCAATTAAACAATTTAAATCACTCTAAAAAAACAACTAAAAGTTTAAGATAGAACACATTTTACACACAAATAATAAGGTTAATTAAATTTTTTAATCAGTATTAGATTTTTTAAAAAATGAAAAAAAAAAATTTAGCCTTAGCTAATTTATTATTAGCATAGACCCCATTTACCTGCAGCAGATCCACATCTTTCTCCTTTGGCATCTTTTTTGAAGGCATATGATATTGTTATTGCCCTGTTGCACAAATACTGATCATTCATAGCTTCAATGGCAGCATCTGAAGCTTCAAAGCTTGCAAAATTTATGAATGCATAACCTTTGGAGTTGCCAGATTCTCTGTCTCTCATAATCTGAAAAAGTTATTTTTTTTAAATTTATAAAAAACAACAAACGAACTATTTAGATTACATTCCTAACTTTATAAATGTTTTGGTGAATCGTCAGGCAAAATCCAATGCCAGAAAGCCACACCAAAACACTTTAAGAGTTTCATCCCACCTAAATGTAATCTTGGTATGACAAGTGAAAACTAGTGGTCTGAACAAATGACATTCAATTTTTAAAAATTGTAAATACATGTTACATAAAGGTAACCTACTAATTGGTGATCAGAAGATAAAAGGATAATATTGTGCTCTCTGTACTGCTCTGCTTTCATCAAATATAACGAATAATACATTTATTTACAGTCTTCATACAAAATCTGAAATATTTTTTACTCTAAAACTTTTACCTATACTAACACACAGACTACTCTACTGGCAATATATTTATTTATAGTCTTTATACAAAATCTGAAATATTTTTTACTCTAAAACTTTTACCTATACTAACACACAGTGGTATGTGTGACATGACAGTTAAAGAAGTAATCTTGCCACAGGGCCATTGTATAATGCTTGTACTACTACTCTATAACCATCACTGTCAATAGATCTAGTACTGCTCTTGATAACCAACTGTTTCAAAAAAAAAAACCACAGGATGTCCTGGCAACCTGACTCAACCAAAAGGTCCCCTGCTTGAATATGTCTTCTTAGTCTTACTCTATTATCTCATAATATTCATCATGCGCCCACCCTCTGCTCTCATTTGTACAAACTTGTTTGACTGTGCACAATCACCGACCAATTCATTTTCACGCTTGTCTCCGTGCCTATGCTTCCTCATGACACTGAGCTCTGATCATAAGCATGACACCTCATGTTTCTAATACCTTGAAAATAAACAACTGAAGGGGAACAAATTTTACAGCAGGACCAATAGGGATGACAATAAGATTATTAAAATGCTAGTTTAGTAAATCAATATCTACCTTAGGTGTCTGCAAGATGACGCCAAATGCGCTGAACGTATCATATAACAATTTCTCATCTACCTCGGGATCTAAATTTCCAATGAAAATATTAGCCCCAATGTCTTGCCTCTTAGTGTGAGCTGATGCCTGATGTAAAAATTAAAATACAAAAAAAATTATCAATATTTTAGAATGTTCATTTTGCAATAAGGAAATGGAACAGAGAATAATAAATTATTACTCTTCAAATGAGCCAGAGAATATGAGTATTTTTAAATTTCTGCATACAGATGAAATAAATTTAAGTCAACACTGAGTAGGTTAAAACAAATAAATAGAAAAATAAAAAGATATTTCTTTAATTTAAATAAAGGAAGCACCACCTTGTTGACCCTGATGGGTTTGCCATACAGTTTTATCATATTCATTATCTTGATGGCGTAGTCAGCATCTTCTTCACTCATAAACTCAATAAATCCATAACCTTGATGTGACTGTGTCACTCTGTCTTTAGGCATGTGGACATTAACTGAGGAGAGAGAGGGGGAAAGGCTGTATGATTCAACATGAACATTTTTACATGACTTGCTACTATTTGGGATGTGCATGCTCATTCTTCATAAAAGAGCTCTTAAAATTGTTTTTCTGCCAATGACTAAATCTATTCAATTTCTAATACGATCCACCACTTTATCCTCAATTGGCATTTAATAAATTTGAGATTCTTTTCAAAATTCTTATTTACAAAACTCTTAATGGCTTTCAAAACAGTAAATTTGATACAACAGGTCTACATTTACATCTGTCTAAAATAGACGTTATCAGGTCTACATTTACCTCTGCCTAAACTAGACATTTTCAGGTAAGATATTTAAGCTCTTGATATAAGAGAACTGTACTCATAAATAAATTACACCCAGCCATATTGAGCGTAATTTGTGGTGTCTGGGGCAAAATCTAAAAATCGCATCAACACCCCACTACACACAAATCTTATATTAAGTTTTTAATCAAAATTAATAAAAGCAGCCCAGATGTTGACACCCTCATTTTGCTACCCACACTTTTCCACGCACCTAAACTAAGTAAAAATTATAATGTCCCACTCCAGTTTTACCACGCAATATATTACATATAATTTTTAAAAAAAAATATTTCAAATATTGAAGAAAATCATTATTTTTCAAAATTTTATTTTGAATTAACTATATACGAATGTTCAAGTCTGTATTGCTTTCGGGTTTTGAGATATTACAATGTTGGAAGCGATATCACTCACGTACAAAAAATGTTTTTAAAAGTTAGGCCTACCACCCCCACCTAAAAAATAATATACATATATTGCACAGTGAAATTCAGAGTGAAATTTATCATCACTATAAAAAAATACCGTACTAAGAGAATAACCTTTAGTTTTAATAACAATATCTGAAATTAATTGGTTCTTTCATTGACCGTGAGCTGCTATTATTATCTACCAATGTAACAGTGTATCCTAGTGTCTCATTTGTATTTACTTAGTTTACATGTTTTAATAATTGTAAAGCGCTTAGAGCTTTATGATAAGCGCTATATAAAAATGCCTAAATAAATAAATAAATAACAGTGTTAATTTTTAGATTTAGAGTAGTTTCAGATAAGACAATCACTATAAATTTCTATATAATTTTTAATAAATTATCCATCAATCTATTTTATTGTTTTAACATCTAAACCTGTTAGTCTAGTATGAGCTAGGAAAGCTATATGGCAACAAAATATATATGCCATAATCATAAAATTCAATCTGATTTCATTTAAATTTATAATATTAATTAGTAGTATTAATAGAAGATAATAATAATAAATGACTAATGATGTTGCCTTATTCTAATTACATCAGATTCTGCCAGAAGCCATTTGGGCAATTAACCCTCTGGAGACGTAAGGGCTGATCTATCGGCCCGAGGTACACTAGCGAGAAAGACGTCAAGTCCGAGCCATCAGCCTGATAGATCGAGCCTCACGATTAGCTGGCTTGGCGTTGTACCAGCGAATCAAAATTATTCATACGTATTCCTGCACATCCCGGCATTGTAATGGCGGCGTTCGTTGAAGGTGAACTCAATTTATTTGTTTGCAGGAATTTGTGTGTGTGTGTGTAGTTACATCGTGAATTTCGAACATGTCTGACAGTGACTCTGATCAAACTGTGCTTAGTAATTTTGATATTCTAGCAGTGAATTTGACACTGAAACTGCTGAAAACAACCAGGGAATTAATGAAGACTTTCAAATTGAGGGTAATGCTAATGTTGTGAACTCTTGGTTTAGTATTACTAGTATTAGGGGTCCTCAAACGGACAGAGATGACCCCTCTGAATTTTTAGACAACATAAGCCCTATAAATAAGTCATAAGCACCCCATTTGAGTATTTTATGCTATTTTTTACACTAAATATCACTCAAGTGTTAATGAGAGAGACCAATTGCTATGCAGACACATTTGTCAGTAACATTCAGCTTAAGAGAAGGTCCCTAGGTTATAAATAGGGGCCTGTTACAGTGTGTCTGTAACAACTGAAAAATAGGGGGTGGGGGTGGAAAAGGAGTAGAACCATGTGCCAGAGGTGTCTGAAGGGCCTTCATGGGCCCTTTTTCCCCAAAAAATAAGTATTTGGACTTATTCAGGCTTCATCCATCAAAAAATTCACACAATTGATACAAGTAAGTCATGTTTGTTCTAGGTGTAACAAAAAATTACACGCATAAATTATGCAAATAAGGATACCTCATTTGCATAAATTTTGATATGTCAGTTTGATGCATAAAGATTGTATTAGTTCATTCAATTTCCTACAAGAATATATAAATTTTTACATATATTAAGGGAATAGTTTATTTTTTATAAATTTTTTTTGCAATGCGAGTCTCGAGCTCGTGAAAATTGCTCCGTCTTTTTGGCACATACACCCCGAAAAGGCTCCGTCTCCAGAGGGTTAACCTACATGTAAATTTTAATTCGCAATATTAACAACACAATTAAAAACAATTTTGGGTTTTCAGGATAACTGTGAATTAATAATAGCAATATTTTGATGATAATTTATTGATAATAAAAAGAATACATTAACTTTCAAATTAGGATAAAATACTTAAAATAGTTCTTTAATTGTTATTTTTAATGTATTTCTAATGTTTATTAAAAATACTTTACCATATTCTTAAATATAAGCAAATGCATTTTACTTTTTATATCCCCATAATTGTTTTTAAGCATCCCAGCTTATTTAAATTAATTTTTTTTAGTGTTATATGTTCAGCCTAGCTCATTCTTATATATATTATTACCGGGGTATTAGAATATTTTTATTATGGTTCTGTATATCAACCGAAAATTTAAAAAAGGTGAATAGTTTAAATTGTTACCTGGCTGACTACCAACTTATCAAACTTGTCAACTCGCCCAATGCCAATTACAAAGCAGCTGATTGCTTATAAAGTAATAATAAATTATTTAAGATAAAGGGGAGTAGGGCAATGGATTGTAGGTATTGAATATTTTTATTATGGTTCTGTATATCAACCGAAAATTTAAAAAAGGTGAATAGTTTAAATTGTTACCTGGCTGACTACCAACTTATCAAACTTGTCAACTCGCCCAATGCCAATTACAAAGCAGCTGATTGCTTATAAAGTAATAATAAATTATTTAAGATAAAGGGGAGTAGGGCAATGGATTGTAGGTATTGAATATTTTTATTATGGTTCTGTATATCAACCGAAAATTTAAAAAAGGTGAATAGTTTAAATTGTTACCTGGCTGACTACCAACTTATCAAACTTGTCAACTCGCCCAATGCCAATTACAAAGCAGGTGATTGCTTATAAAGTAATAATAAATTATTTAAGATAAAGGGGGAGTAGGGCAATGGATTGTAGGTATTGAGTATAAAATATCATAATTATGACATTTGAGAGTATTTGATTAAAGATTTAGGTTGACTTAAACCACAGTGTCTATTTTGTATTGACATGTAAATGTGACAGCGCAGCAATCACTGATAATAACTAAAGGCTGGTGAAAATGATAAACCATATATATCGTTTTAAAACTTAGATTGCTGCAAAATGACATTAAAAAATATTAACCTGTCACTGTCAAAAAAAGGGAGAGCCTGATTAATCCACAAGATGGCCCATTGGCAAATTACCTGCTGATTAATTGGACCAACACTATTTCAAAAGCAAATTTACAAACCGTATGAGAAACCAAATTGGCAGGATTGATTAAAGATTGTTTTGCAGGGCCAAAAGATCCTTACCAACAGGTCCAGCTTGCAAGAATAGCTCCCATAGTATGTTTTCCTGCACTTTTTCATCAAGGCCACCAACATAAACTGTGGCATCTAATAAGAAAGAAATACACATTTTAATAAACGAGGCAAAATTTGTTTCATATAAAAATAGTTATTTTTGAAAAAAAGTTTTAGCATATATTTTCCACCTAAAAGCAGATATAGCTAGTAGCTAAGATCTCACAATGTACTTGAAATGGATGTAAGTTATAAAATATCTCACAGACAATAGATACCTTATATATTTTCTTCTCTAGTTATGAGGTGTTACTTTCAAATCCGATGATCGGAAAGGCAATTATCATTTAACACCCATAGTTGTGATCCATATTTGCTTTTCATTTTTCAATACTAATCATTAAAACTATGTCAGCAATAAATGATTGAACTTCCAAATATTTTAACTGTAGAGCCTGAAACTCAGATTAAATAAAAGGAATTTGTGAGCTGGAGCTGATAAGCGAGGTCCACAAAGGCAAAGATACCTGGTCCCAAAAAACATTTTGGTTAAAAAAACTAGGTCTGTGTTTGTTTTGAGTTTTTTTTTTAATAGTCTCTACCAAGTCTTAACAGTTAATAGCATTGAATTGGGGACTAAGGAGGTGAATATTTTACTGTCTCATTTTTTCACCTATAGTCAAAACAATGGTATGTTTATAAGCTAGACACAACTAAATCATTCAGAATTTGTTTTATTTGCCAATACCTACTTCGCACCTACACTGACACCAAGTTTTGAGAGACAGGGCGCATATATTTTTCTTTTGAGTTAAAATGTTTTTAAAGGGTTGTGGGGAGAGACCTGTGATTAAGATCTCTTTGTTTTAGTGCATGTGAGGTCAGAGGTACCTATCATTTATCATTTATTTTTTATGATTGATTATTAAAGCTTGCTTGCAATCTATGTCTCATGCGTAGATACTGATCTTCCATCGAGCCCCTCCCCAGGTGGCGGATAAGGGAAAGCCCACCAGATATGCTTGGTACTGGGTATATGATACACCCAGGGTGGACAAAATCAGAAGCTACTGTCTTGTAGGAAATGGAGGGATCCACAAAGGCTAGGGAACCTTACCCCAAAATTAAGGCAGCTACCCAGAGAGCTGTAAGGGGGTTAAGCGCAGGGCTAACAACCCAGCCATTAAAAAAAATAAAGAAAGCAAAACAAAAAAATAAAACCAGGACTGATTCTAATGGAAATTGACATATGCCTTGACATGTACATGATTTTTGGATTGCGACTTGGAAAGTTTAAAGCCTGCCCAGAGCAGGAGCCTTAGCCAACCTAACAGATCAACTAATTAAATATAAAATCTCTATAGTTGCATTGCAAAACTTTCAAGTGAAAAATGCAGACATCATCAAGACAAAAGACAACACAATGTTTTACAGTGGCAACACTAACACTCTTGGAACAGGATTTTCTGTTGAAGAAAGAAGCCATCGGTCCAGTCATATGGAGAATATTCAATAAATAAAATTTACAGAGAGAGTTATAAGAAATATACATGTTGACACCTGACGAACAATAACAGAATACTTTCTGAAGGAAACCCAAGACCCACAACCTATATGCACTCTCTATAACCAACGCCTTTAGTATCTTGCATATGCTGATGACATACAATGCTGGCCTAAGGTAAACTTTTGCCCTGTGCGAAGCATCCGTTCAGCGCCCACTTCCCTGTCCCTGTATGGCTCCGCTCTTTTTTCTGATTATGATGTAGGCTATGGAGCAAGTGTTATGATGCTATATGTGTAGCTAACCATACGCATTTTAACATGCACATTAATTTAGACTGATTAGTTCTTTCTACGGTACTTCACACTTCACTATAATAAACTAAGGGAATTTAAATATTTATGTGCCCCTTTGGCCATGGCACCCAGTGCAAGGGCACAGGTTGCACACCCTAAAGGCCGGCTTTGTGACATAGCACTATTAGCGAAACGTAGTATGTTAGCAAAAAGTAATTAAGACTTAAGGCTTTTGATAACTGAATTAGAAGATGCATCTCTACAAGCAGGGCTGGAAGTCAACAATCAAAAAACATGTCTATGTAAAGAGTAGAACAGAGAGATGAAACCATTAAATTAGAAACCGCTCTTTTGAAAAAGTAAATCAATTTTAAATACCTAGGATCTTTATTAAATGAAAGAAATGAATTACTAACAGAAATAAAAGAAAGAATACACTGGTCAACATTTTTTTTTACAAAAGTTCATGTTACTGCAATAAAATTATTAATTATGTATCAATTTGTATGTGCTCAACATGAATATGACTGTCGAATTGCAAAATAAGCTCTAGTTGTTTTTTTTTACCTGGTAATTTGCAATCATTTTATGTTCACATCATGAAATGCATGCCAAAGTTAATAAGTTAAGGTTAATGCCTGTAAAAAAAATCAAGTCATATGTTGAACCAGTCATCTTTGAAGAGCTCTCAAATCTGAGCGCCCACAAAAACTACCTTTTTAAATTTTATCTCTGCCTTGCTGAGTTGAGGGAATTTTCATGCAGGCATCAGAAAGCTGATGCAGTCCAGTCTATGGCTTTCACAATTCTATGGCCTTCATCAATTCTAGTTTTTTGGTATGAAGGGGTGGTAGCAGGATTTTATGAGCCTCAACCAGAGCTGGGTGCTGGATATTCTTCTCTCCATCTGCTACATTTTGTCTGCAAGTCCATTCCGAAAGGAGTGCCATTGCCTTGCTCGGCTATCCTACTCACATAAGAAACAAGTGCATCTTGTATATTCCTGCTGCAATCCCATTTCAAGGGCAACTACTTTCAAATCAACACAGAGGTACCAGTTATACTCGTCATACTCAATGGAACTCAGTAAATGCTTTAGGTTATCGTATATCTCTTTCATTTGGACAGCATGCAATAATGGAATAGATGGGAGACGGTTTCCATTGTGCAAAAGCACAGCCTTTAGACTCAGTTTCAAAGTGTCTAAAAAGTCTCCATTTTTGTGGGTCATGAGTGATGTTTTGTGAGATATTCATGAGGCCATCAATATCAGAACAGAATACCAGATTACTTTCCTCTCTGAGGAAAGGCTCCAACTGCTGGTGGCACTTTTGATATAAAGTAATAGTGACATCTTTGTCTAGAAGATTCCATTGCAGGAGTCCTAATCCAAGCAATTCTGACTTGTTCTTGGATAAGTCCAAATCAAGAACCAGGTCATTTAGTTCTTCCCGTGTTAGTCTGTGTGGGGTCAATGACACACCACAGTGAAAATCTGGATCATTGCATGTTGATGGAACAGGAGCAGAAGAGATCAGCCCACCCCTACTTCTCATCAGATGAATTAAGAGAATATTCTACAGGAGGCTATGCTAGGCTTGTTTAGGATGGTTTAGCAATAAGAAAAAAAAGAGCCAGTAAAAAGATTTCATGGTTATATTTGTGTTCAGATGGTTTTAGAGAAAACTGATTGTGTACTGACCAAATTGCAACCCTGCGCATAATCATGGAACAGTGCTTGGAGTGGAATGCGTCATTGTACCTAAATTTTGTAGACTTCGAAAAAGCATTTTATAGCTTAGAGAGAGATACACTCTGGAAACTCCTAAGACATTATGGTATTCCCCAAAAGCTAACTAACTTAATTAAGAATACATAAAAGAATATAAGCTCCAGGGTTATACATGAAGGTGAATTCACAAACCCATTTATGATAGAATCTGGAGTTCGACCGGGATGCCTGCTCTCACCATTCCTCTTTCTGTTATCCATTGACTGGATCATGAGAGAAACAACATGAGATGGGAAACTTGGAATCCAGACACCTTTCAGACAGTTGGAGGATTTGGATTTTGCAGATGACATTGCATTTTTATCACATAGCCACAAACAAATGCAGGAGAAAAAAAGAAAACTTGACTCTGTATCGCAGCAAGCTTGACTTAGCATAAATAAAGGGAAAACCAAGACCTTAAGAATAAATGCAGTGGATGATGGAGTCATTGGGATTAACCCGAGAAGAGCGTTTCTTGAGGAAGTTGAGACTTGAACATACCTGGGAAGCATCATAAAGGCCAGAGGAGCATTCAATGCCCTGCGTAACAACTGGAACTCAAGTGAAATACTGACAAAAACAAAATTAAAAATATTCAACTCAAAGGTCAAGGCATTTCTTCTGTACGGCTGTGAAACTTGGACATTAAAAAACTGAAAGTTTTTATAAACAAACGCTTGTGAATAGTGATGGGACGATTAATCGGAATCGTATCGGAATAATCGAAATATCAGGATTTATCCAAAGCATCAGGAATGGGTATCGGAGCTGAATAATTCAGACCCGATTCCAATACCAAAACGATTCTTAACTGATTAACTGCCGTAAGCCTTTGACAGCGCAAAGTTTGTTTCGCATATAAAACCTTTTGAAAACATTGTTATCTAGCATATTGTAAAGCTTCAATAGCAAGTTAATAAACTTTTCTAATCAATTCTCAACTTTTATAATTAATTAAATATGTTAATACCTGGGCACAGTAATACATATATGTAATAATGGCAAGGAATCGGAATCGTATCTGGGAATCTGGATAATTGGTTGGAATCGGAATCGTTAAAAATTTTGATATCATCCCATCACTACTTGTGAAGGAATAAGATGGTTTGACAAAATTTGTAACACTGTCCTTTGGGAGAGAACATCAAGTGTTCCGGTGGAAAGAGAGATAAAAATGAGAAAATTGAGATGGATAGGGTACACATTAAGGAAACCAAACACTAACATCACAAGACAGGCCCTGAACTGGAATCCTCAAGGCACCAGGAAAAGAGGAAGATCAAGACCCACATGGAAGAGTGGAGTGGAGACAGAGGTGAAGAGAATGAAGAAAAGCTGGGCTGAACTAGCATGACAGCCCAGGACAGGGACAGATGGAAAAGTATTGTGGATGGCCTATGCTCCATTGGGAGTGGGAATGGCTAAGAAGAAGAAGAAGCATTCGTGTTCAGCACACCAAGATACTACAGATTATGCCCTTTTTAAGTTAGTAACAATTCCAATGTTGACCAGTGATATCTGCAGGAAAAGGGCATACTTCAGTGGTCAGAAAGTTTGAATATGGATGGAGAATACGAACCATCTGGGAATTGTATAGGTTATATCAAGATCCCAGACTAGTAGCAGACAAAATAAAGGGCAGGCTATGCTGGGCAGTACATTTAGAAAGACTGTCTAATGACAGAGGAGTGAAGAAGGTTCACCACCAAAACCCCAGAGGAAAAAAGGCTTATAGGCAGGCATAGGCTTAGATGGATGGTTGATGTGGAAAAAGGACTACAGCAGCTGGGAATCCTAGCATTGAAAAGAAAAGCATCAGTTAGGTCTTAGTGAAAGGAAGTTTTGAGGCAGGGAAAACCCTACATGGTCAGTAGCGCCACAGCGATGGATGAATGTATTGCAGTCTATTTAAAAAAATTGGCTTAGCAGACAAAAACATTTGCCCATTAAACCAACTGCCTTTTTTGTGATTGACCCGACTGATCAAATAGCTATTCACTATCCTAATCCTTCATACTCTTTTAACTAGTCTTAACTAGATTCTCTAATCTAGGGTCACTTGCCTTGGCCTGTCCTCTTGGCTGACCACTGACTAGGCATTTTGGTAAAAGCAAGTGTTATGTAGCACAATTTCCTGTGCGTGAACTTTCCTCAACCTCACAGGACACTCCTAGCAGACACTAACGTCTGTTGTGGGCGTGGCTAAATCTCTTTGAAGTATCTTGTTTACAATCGGCTTCCAATTACGCATTGGGTATAATGTCTCCGGGTACCTTCTGGAATGTACTCCTTAACCCGAGATATGTAAACAACACGTCATAAGCCCTTCTGGAAGCGTCTTACTCTACATGTATATAAAGGATTGACAGATACGAAGGGAAGGAGATTTCAGATAATTTTCTTAACATTACGAGGCGTGTTTTATTCTTTGTGTATTTGTATGCTCATATGTGTTTATTTCGCATTATTTATTGGCACATTATTCTAACTGTGTTAACTGTGTACCGGTACAAGATCTACCATACTGTAAGTTGAAGATTTGTAATTATATTTTTCTTTTCTTTTGTAATTATCTTAAGACATAATAAATCTTAATTAATTGTAACTAGAAACTGTTTTGGGTCGTATCTTTAATATTGTTGATTCTATGGTATCGTCCTTTGTTAAGGCGTGTTTTATTCTTTGTGTATTTGTATGCTCATATGTGTTTATTTCGCATTATTTATTGGCACATTATTCTAACTGTGTTAACTGTGTACCGGTACAAGATCTACCATACTGTAAGTTGAAGATTTGTAATTATATTTTTCTTTTCTTTTGTAATTATCTTAAGACATAATAAATCTTAATTAATTGTAACTAGAAACTGTTTTGGGTCGTATCTTTAATATTGTTGATTCTATGGTATCGTCCTTTGTTAGGCACTGCTTACAACGAGCCAATTAAAATTAAAATAGGAGATTAATTTCTCCCAATACAAGTCAGTGCGTAACAGCAAGGGAGACTACTTCAAAATTTTATGGGAAACAGTGTCAGCATGGAAGAATCAGAGTTTTTTTTATTTCTGGACTTTGGTGCTTTTTCATTAATGAAAGGACTATTTTCTCATAACAATATCATTATGGTATCTTTCCACACATATTCACAGTATCACAGTAGTGGACATCTTGGCCTACATTTCCATCACAATTTTTTTGTCTTTTTCAATCTACACTAATCTTAGACTTCTTAGGTATATATAAATATAAGGCATTTTTCCCAAACATTTTTAAGTCCATGTTTAAAGTCCATATCTTTCATATTACATCTTCCACACCATTATATATTGATTTATATGTGTGCTAATTCTCATTGAGTTAGGACAAGTCGGCCATTAGTTATGCTCAGTTGGGTAAACCATAGTATGATAAGGTTGCTTAGCCCCATTAGGATAAGGAGGTGACCACGCCCCCTCTTTAAAGAATTCGCTGGTACTTAGAAAATATTCAATTATTATCACTATTTACATCAAAATATTTTATAACTTGTCGTTTGGAAGGCATTTAAACAGGAATATTTTAATTCAAGGAATATTTTAATTCGATGAAATGGAGTCAGCATACCCAAGTGGTCACTGTTTTGAAGCTTTAATACAATTGTTGGGGTATGATTCTTGTAGATAATTGGATGATTTAAATCTAAACAGTGGTTGGCTTTTTATCCTATTTTATTTGTTCCGCCATATTTGGTATATTTGGGGTAGATGTGATTTATTAATTTTGTGGATATTATTTTCGGTGGAACCTGAAATAAAGTGTTTAAAAGTGTATTTCATGAAACTGTAAGTTGAGTTTTCATTATTTTTTTGTTTTATAATTATTTTTGGCCCTTTTTTTTTATTGTTTTTTTTTAATTTGTCATAATTTTCTTGACACAGTGTGCAAATTCCATGTGTTTTTACTTGTGGCTTGAGGGCTAGCTTTAGGGTTCAGGTTAGGTTTAGGGATCGATTTAGGGTTCAGGTTAGGCATAGGGATTGATTTAGGGTTCAGGTTAGGTTTAGGGATCGATTTAGTTAGGGTTCAGGTTAGGTTTAGGGATAAGTTTAGTTACTCTAACTAGGCCTAGTTTCTCTAAACTCTAATGAGTCAGTCTAGTTACTCTAGTGGATCAGCCTAGTTCTAGTTACTCTAGTGAGTCAGTAGTCAGTCTAGTTCTAGTACAGTAACTAGTAGTAAATAGTTTAATAATGGATATAAAATTATAATGGTTTAATTTAATAACAAAAATAATTCGACTGTCGATAACAGGCTATTCACGAAAGTTAAATTCGTAAAGCCATTAGCCTAACTTTGTTTATTACATTTTAAGCCCTTGATTGTATTTTACTAGACCTTACCTTGATTTCGCTCTGCTATTGGGGCAGAAGACATAGTAATGTTTTTAAATCCGCATTAGTTTTTATGATTAAAAAAAAATTAAAAACGTTTAACAGGTGCAAACAAAGTAGAGGTAACTCGCCTAAACTCTGAAAAGATAAGTACGCACGTATAAGAAACTAACCAAGCCCGAGATACGAAACAATATAACTAAGTCTGCTGATAAAATTGAGCCTACTAGACCAGCTATTCGATTTATTATTATTTTTTTTTTTTACTAATATTTTAACATACCGTTGGCAAGAATAAATATTTAAATATATATATATTAAATTATAAATATGCAGGCCACAATTTTATAAAAATTCAATTTTGAAAGAAATACTAAATAATTAAATTAATTATAATAAGGTATTTATTATTCAATCCAGCTTAGTTCACATTCACTGTACTATAAAAAATACTGTTAATCAAAATTCAGATATCTGAGTGTTCTGAGTCTGAATAATTACTTTGTTAATTGGTTAATAATTAGACAAGAGTCAGAGATAGAGTTTGCATAAATTAGTTTAATATTTGCATAAATTTAAATACATCATTGTACTATTATAAAAGGGTCGTAATAAAATACGGGACAGTGAGCTTGCTTATTTTAAAAAAAATTATAAATGTCAAGAACAATTGATTTATTAGAAAAATCAGCTCATTTCTTTTACAAACAGGTATCTTTTAAGACTTAAACTGAAATAATAAAGGGCAATATTTGATTTATGTGGTTAGGTATATTATTTAATTAAATTTTAATGTAGATGAAGGAAATATTATTTAAAAAATTGTTTCCTTAGAAGTTTTACTTTTAACGTTTTATATTGTGAAAGGGTGGATTGCAAAAATACTCTGTACTAAGAAACAACACAAAATGTTATTAAGGATGGTTTTCAAAATGAAGAAGAGATATTGTAATTGTAATTGGTTCCAACTCATGCTCTTAACTTTACTTTTGGCATTTTTTTCTTTGTTGATAATATTTAGGTACATGCTATTGTACGACTCGCATTCATTAACTATGAATAGTATGAATCTTCGGGCACATCAACACCATAAACATGACGGTCATGTTCATAAACATTTTTTGGCTTTGCCAAGTTTGTCGAACTCCAACTTGGAGCCTTCCCAGTCTCAGGAGAAACTTTTCGAACACAAAAACCAAGAGGATCATTATCACAGTGGCCAGCATCAGCATTTTATTCAACAACTTCATCAAAAGCACCAAGAAATATTTTCAAAATATGCTTCCTTTAGGCCTCAAACTTTGAATCAAAGAAACAAGGAAAACAATTACAATTTAGGCTTAGGCAATTTCTCCACCAACAATCACTTGAAACAGAAAATCAAAACACATGAGGGTGACAATGGTGTCGTCAATATTCTGCTTCTCTTTGATAGTGCTGACAAAAACACACAACTACAAAGTAGTTTCTTATTGTGTGTCTCTTCATTGCTTGCATCATCCTCAAAACCCATTCAATTTTACATTGCTGGGGATTCTAACAGTTTTAAAATAGCAAAACGTTTGTTACAAAAGGCTAGCAGTGATTCAGGATTTATCTATCCGCTTCAGGTAAGTAAAATGTATAAGTCATATATCAGATATCATTTATATTTAGAAAAAAAAAATATAGTATTGAAAAAGTATAGTATAAGTATTGACAACTTTGTTTAGAATTAGATAATGATTAATAATAATTAATAATGTGACTAAAAAAGCAGTAATTTTTTTTTAATGTAAATGATTTGGGAAAGCCATTAAATTTTTTTCCTTGGATAATAATTTAAAAAAAAAAAAACGCCACAAATAAATTTGATCAAATCTGAAAATGGGCAAATATATTTTGCCATTATTATTATTTAAATTAGTTTAAGTTTTTAAAAAAATGGCATTTGTTTGGAATATTTAAAGAAGTTATAAGCCTATTTGCTGCTTCTCTTGAATACATTTAAAAAAAATCTAAACGAAGAAGTTAACGAATTAATAAATAATTAGCATTAGTGTAATGCAAAAAAATATCATAAATATTGTCATATGTTCTTTTTTTTTATTCTTAGATAATCCATTATGAGAAAACAAGCATGGAGAACAGTGTTTCTCTTAAAATAAAGACCATTCATGAGTTACTTAGTGGTGCCAAGAATACCAAGTTCAGCGATCCTTTATTTTATATTTCCATTGTTTTACACGAAATCATGCCTAAATCTGTGTCAAAGATGATACTCTTGGATGCTGACTTGTATATCACCTCCGACATCTCAAAATTATATTCTTTATTTGATCATTTTCAACCAGAGCAGGCTGTAGGTATGGCAAGGGATAATCAGCCAGTGTACAGAAATTTGCTTTGGGAGTTTAGGAAAAAGAATCCAAGAACCAGAGTGGGTGATCCGCCACCTGATGGTTTAACAGGATTCAATAGTGGCGTGGTCCTCTTAGATTTAGACAAGCTGAGAAATTCCTCTAGGTATAATTCATATTTTACTGTAAATGTCTTGTTGTCAATTGTGAATAAGTACCAGTTTGAAGGTCACCTTGGTGATCAAGACTTTTTTACTCTGCTTTCATTTGAATATGAGGAATTATTTTACATACTTCCATGTGGCTGGAATAGACAGTTATGCACTTGGTGGCGACGAGATGACTTGATTAAAATTTTTGATGCTTATTTTAAATGTATTGAGCCTGTTCACATATGGCATGGAAACTGCAAAATATCATTGCTTAATTATACTTTGCAGTCTTAGAGAATAATCTTTAGAAGTTAATTTGTTCCCAGATTATTTTTTCATTTCATTTGATGTTATAAAATTGTCATTTTAATGATGACTTTAAAAAAAATAAAATTAGATTTTTTAAAGCTGAGAGCTAAAGTTAGAATTTGTATTTTTTAAATATTTTGAAAATAGTGACATATCATTATAAATGTATACCGGTACCTCCATATATTATGATATTAGAAGCCAGACTGTGATGCCCAGATGATAACCTTCATATAAATTTTGGACAGTTTAAATCATTTAAAATTAATTTTGTATGGATGCTATGTCTACAGACCTGTTTACTCTTACGAATTTGGCGTACAATGTACGATTTTGAGGTGTATAGATTGTATATACGGTATGTTTTTTTTACTATAAATATAACGTATTGAACGATTTTGTGATGATATTGTACGATTTTAAGAGTTTGAGGGTAAACAGGTCTGTGTCTAGAGTCTCCTCCACCAAGTTTGATGTTTTCTTGGAGTTGGAGCACTGCGCTTGTCATTTTTTGTTAAAGAACACACATAATTTAATAACTTAACTTAAGTAAGAAAAAGTTAAAGCTACTTTTATGCAAGTAAACATTTTTTATTATCTCATCCATCTTTTGGTAACCTAAATAAATTTTTTTAAATGTGGCCATTTTACCTTAATTAGATGGAACTAACCATATCCATTTAAACTAATTATAATATAATAATAATTTCCTTGGACAATGCTCATGATCGAAAATGACTTTATTTTGAAAAAAACCTTTGAATTGTTTTACCGTGAGTTTTCTCAATTACTTTTAGGGGGTCAAAAAGATGAATACATTGAAAACCAAAATTCTAATTTAATAAAAATTATGTTAATTATTGTTACTGTACCTTATGTGCTAGTAAATTGTGACATTTTGTTAAGGAACAATAAACATTTTTAGCATGTGTTTAAGTTTAAGTCACAGCATTGTAACATGTTTTCAGTATATTGAGAATTATATTTCTTATGGATAATTTATAGTCTGTGTTTATTTTAAAAGAATAAGATTTAATTACCGTATTTAAATGCGTTCAAAAGTTTAACATGTTGCTCGTTAAATTCATTACATTTTGTGTAAAAGAATATAGAAAAACAACACAATCAATATTTGTTCTCAAAGTCATCTACATGTACCTCCTAATTAGATGTAATTATGAAAGATTTAAATAAATTTAACTCCATCACCCTCTGCAGTAGAGGATGTCGAAACAACTTACAAATTATTAGTGGGGTTAGGGTTAGCTGTGCTGGGGGATTGATAGAAAAAAAAAAAGTATGGTGATAGATATTGCTTTCATTTATTTCATTCAATTTTTATCTCTGTGTGTGTGGTGGTGGGGCAGGTTGAGGTGCATTGATATTTGCTAGGGTGCTGCCATTGTCCACTGTTGACATTCCATATATGCTTTTTTTGCTGGCTTGCAACACAATGTTTTTGTGGTGTTGGTATACCCGTTAACTTGTGAGGGATTGCTATAATTTGGAGCTAATTATTATGTTCGTCCGTCGAAGATCGACAAGGACCATCGAGTCGTCAGGTGACTGATGACTTGCGCGGGTGACTTTTGTTTTTAAAGTGAGGAAGAGTTGCGCGGCGTCAACCTCACTCTCTCGTCCGGGCCCACCATATCCAGTGGCAAGACTGTATGTCAAGACGACCAGGGATGGGCAGTAATTTGTCATTGTATGCACCTTACGGGACTCCAACTCCTGATTTGAATTCAGAGTTTCCTTCTCTTAGATGAGTTGCTGACCAAGGTTAACGAGTCTCATCGACCAGGGGTGATGTTTTTGCTTGACTTGAACTCCAGTCCACCAACTTGAGGTTTGCTCAGTTTAGACCATTCGGCCACCCGGCTAATTATAAATGTAGGCCAAATGTTGTTGGCATATGGTAGTAAAATTTGTCTATAGATCATTTGTACTTAACATCTTATCAGGAACAAATTTAATAAAACCAGTCTTTTAAATAATATGGATCTGTTCAAAATTAATTACAGTATTCAGTTTCATGTGATTTTTTTTATTCTGAAACAGAGATATTTCATTTTGAAATAATATACATTAAAAAGGTAGCCAGTGCTTTTGTTTTTTTCTTGGCATTTTAAAAATTCTTTTCTGGTAAAATTGTTCATGCCTTAATATTTTTACTGTCTAATTTTCTTTATTTGGTCATTGGTGTATACTAGTATTATAGTTTTTTTCGGTTGAGGTAAACACCTTCAAGTTAAGTATGGAATGTTTCGGAGCTAAAATTCTTTACACAGCTTAATCTCAAAGATGTTTTTAATCTGAGTTGGGTTGATCCTCTTACTAACCAATATGTAAATAAATATGGTTACATTTTAGAATCAGAATAAAAAAGATAGTGGCATTCAAGTCTTTAAAAATAAAAGTTTCTTGATAGGTAGTTGCTAATTTCTTGTGATTTTAAAGCTACCACGCGTATTATTTAAATGGAACTATTTTGCATGAAGTCTTCTACTGCAATGCAATGTATCAGCTTATAAATGTGTTGAGAATGAATATGGTTTGTGTTAAACATAACTAACTGATGATCCTGTCTGACCTACTTGGGTTCATGTTTCTATGGGAATTTTAATTTCTTGTGACATCATTTTAGTGGCAAGCAAAAATATAGCTTTATAAGGGTTAAATTGTGAATGCTTTTGTGGGATCCCGATGATAAAGTTGTTGAGGAAACAGTAAGTAAAAAAACAACAACTGAATTCTCTGAAAAATGACCTGAAGACATGCAATGTATCCACTATTGACTCTATGTAAAGCGTATATGGTAACTTAAAGTATTTCAATTAGCAATTGTTACATGGTAGTGCAGTTTTATTTCTTTACCCCACTGACCCTGGACTTGTCAGCATACAATATTCCAGTAAGAGCTAGCGTGACAAGTTGCTAGATTAGTAAGGTACCAGACATGTGTCTGGAGTTGACCATGAACTACAGTAAACCACCGGACATGAAACTGTCTTATTACTGGTTGTTGTATTCCACTACAGTAGGGAGAGATGCTTAGACTTAGAGATAAGATGGCTGACTAGCTTTCCATGGCATTTGCTTAGTACTAGATAGGACCCTCCAATAGTTAGAAGTAATAATAGTAATCAAAGTCAAGTACTTGATAAAGTTCATGTTTATTCCAGGAATTTAGACTTGTGTTAGCACTCCTTATATTACTGGGAGTGTTCAACATTTATTTATTTCTTTATATGTATATTTTCTATATCTTTATTCATATTTTTATTCCATGCAATAAATACACTTATATTAGAACACTGGTTTTCTTCCTTTTTGGTTAGTAGTGTTTCTAAAAATCTACCTGTGTTGGCCCCTATTTAAGTTCCCCTAGAATACAAGCTTGTTCAAATTCATTGATGCCTATTAGAGAAATGTTACGAATATAATATCCCAGTACATCAATTCTATGTGGACTATAAAATGGCCTATGACAGCATCAAAAGAAAATATCTATATGAGATTCTGCAGGGGTTTGGCATACCCAACAAACTGACAAGACTGATAAATGTACCAGTAGCATTAAACAATTCAAAAAGCAAAATTTTGGTTCAGGGAAAATATTCATGGGAATTTCAAATTAGATGAGGCCTAAGACAAGGAGAATTATTTTCTTATATATATGCTATACTATGTAACTTAACATTAGAGAGACTTATAAGAAACAAACATAGTGACACAGTAATAGTAACAGGATATTTTCTGAGGGCAACCCAAGACACGCAACCTATAGGCACTTTCTACAACTAACTCCTTCAGTATATAGCATATGCTGATGACATAGCACTGTTAGGAAAAAGTAGTAAAGACATGACATATGAAAAGGCTTTCCTTTTACTGAATTAGAAGACATGTCTACGAGAAAGCCTGGAAGTTAAAAAAAAATATAAAAAATACATGAATTTTAAGAGAAGAGCGTACATTAGAATTAGAAACCACCATTTTGAAAAAGTAGGCCTAAGTCAATTCACAAATACCTAGGATCTTTATTAAATGAAAGAAAGAAATTGTTAGCAGAAATTAAATACATTTATCGGCCGGGAACAGGGCATTCTTCAGTAGTCATAAAATACTCAAAAAATACAAACATTACAAGAACAAAGAAAACAACACCGGGTAGCCTATATAAAACTGTAGGCCTAATCAGGTCAGTTGTAGTTGAATCACACCTATATAAAACTGTAGGCCTCTGGGCCTGTAGGCCTAATCAGGTCAGTTGTAGTTGAATCACACCTATATAAAACTGTAGGCCTAATCAGGTCAGTTGTAGTTGAATCACACCTATATAAAACTGTAGGCCTAATCAGGTCAGTTGTAGTTGAATCACACCTATATAAAACTGTAGGCCTAATCAGGTCAGTTGTAGTTGAATCACACCTATATAAAACTGTAGGCCTAATCAGGTCAGTTGTAGTTGAATCACACCTATATAAAACTGTAGGCCTAATCAGGTCAGTTGTAGTTGAATCACACCTATATAAAACTGTAGGCCTAATCAGGTCAGTTGTAGTTGAATCACACCTATATAAAACTGTAGGCCTAATCAGGTCAGTTGTAGTTGAATCACACCTATATAAAACTGTAGGCCTAATCAGGTCAGTTGTAGTTGAATCACACCTATATAAAACTGTANTATTTTTGTCTAAAAATATTGTATCCAATCCATCCAGGGGGGGGGGGGCGGCAAGTGCCCCCCTTCCCTCCCCCCTCCTGCGGGCGCCCATGCACGCTAGTAGCCTTTGACTTAGTAGTAGCAAAATTTTTTTTTTTATAAGGGCAGACTACGCTGAGCATTACACATTGAACGAATGCCGAATAACAGAGGATTGAAGGGGGTACAATCACTAGGCAGACCTAAATTTAGATGGATGGACGATGTGGAAAAAGATCCACAGCAACTGGGAATCCGAGAATTAGTTAAGTCTGAGTGGAAGGAAGTGGTGAGGCAGGCCAAAACCCGGCACTTCTCAGAAAAGAATACTCTTCATTAGAAAGTGTCCGGCTAATAGCCGCCGATAATTGGTGACGTAATTTTTTTAGTTCCAATTTTGTTTGCAGACGAATTATTGCTTGTAACAAAATAAAATAAACAATTCCTTGGCCGGCAGACCGCAAGCGCCGTTTCTTTTTTCAAATAATGTTTTGTCAGGAAACATTCTACGACTTATGACGCAGTGCCGAAGTCACAGTATGACAGCATGTCTGGCTGCATGCTTTGGTTAGTGTGGCTTGCTGAACTGTTCGTCTAATTTCTAATATAAATCAGCAATTAATTTAACAGAGGTAACTTTTGTTCCTCTCTTGCATTTTTCTTCCTTTTCCTTCTTTAATTTTTTTTTTTTTTTTTTTTTTTTTTTTTTCCTTTTTTTTTTTTATTTTTTTTTTTTTTTTTTTTTTTTACAGCTGATGATGATGATGATGTTGAAGAGCTTGATGAAGACGCCGATGAAGATCACTATCTTTTAAAACCCTTTAAATAGGACATAAATTTAAGTCACCAATTATCGGTGACTATTAGTAATTAGGCTGGAAGCCTAAAATATTTGTCTATCCAAGAATTTACCCTATTTAAAAGCTCTCTTTTTCCAATATATCACGACAAGGGTCACAATGCTTCTATTCCTATAAAATAATAATGAAGTCGTACTTGAAAATAATAATAATTATAATAATAAGACGTCTTATATAGCGCGGTACCCCAGCCTAGGGCTGGGCTCACCGCGCTGTACATAAAAATTTTATCAAAAGAGACATGATCATGACATTATGATGCGTGAGAACGTTTGTACTAAAGCGACTGAGCTTAGTAGGTCAGCGGAGTTAACTCGATTTTAAAGGGTTTACCTTAAATTAAGTTAAATATAGCGGCAATTGTTGACAATCTTGTCACTTGCTGAAATTTAAAAAAAAAAATAAAAAATAAAAACCCAACAAATGATAGTAATTGTCATTTAAAAGTGTGTTTCCCTGAAGTCTTTTGTTTACTAAAATCGTGCGGGATCCCGGGAGAGAAACCATAATCAGCACTAGTAGCTTTTTCAATGCCCAATTAGCCGACAGTATATTTTACTCTATTCATCCCTGCCGTCCAGAGGCGTAGCGAGGGTGTTTGGCGCCCGGGGAGAAGATTCATTTTAAAGCGCCTCTTTTTCTTTTTTTCAACTCTCAAACCCATTATTTTCATCAATAAAATAATATCAAAATACACTTATGCGCCCATAACTAGCTGGCGCCCGGGGACATCTGTCCCCCCTGCCCCCCTCGCTACTCCTCTGCTGCCGTCAATAAAAGACAATATTCTCTGATAACCCCCTATTGATTAAAGTCGTCTAAAAGAAAATGTCACATCTTGTGTTGGTTTCCTCACTTTTTCTTTGACATTCATGGGCAGCAGTTTCTGTCACTTGCAAAAAAAATTATTTTTTTTTTAAAATAAATAAATAAATTATTTCCGTGATGCGCTTGGGGAGGAAGGGGTTGTTGGATCTCGACCTGTACAGCCCATGTCCATACCGATAACTCTAGAATCGCCCCTGACTAATTAATTATGCGATAAAAGAAACTGAGAAACTTGACAGATCTTAATGTGCCTTTTAGTTGTTTAATATCCCATCCATCAGGCACCTGAACAAAAATTGCAAAAGGTAGGCCCTATTTTTTAAATATTGTAGTATGCAAATAATGCAATTTATTTAAAAAGTCTTTATTTTATTAAAGTAAAGAGACGGTTGATTCTTTCATGTAAAATACAACCTTTTAATGTCTTAAAAAATGGATTTAAAATAAAACAATGCACATAAATAGATAGGTCTAGTCATAGCTGACCGACATCCTTTTAATTTTTAGAAAAATCACTTCATCACAATAATTAATAAAAAAAAAAAAATAAAAAAAATTGGTTTATATAAATTATAATAATCCCACAGTAGATCGTGTCCGCTCTGCAGGGGCGTAAATAAGGAAAATCAGGCGAGACGCCAAGAGTCATGATTATTGTGTCCCTTTGAAAAGATAACTGGGGGTTTCCATACGAATAATTTTCCCAATAATTCAAGCCCCATCAGAAATATTTTTTCACTCATGATATGACCACAAAGCAGAGTAAGATAGAAATATGACGATGATACCTAAAGGGCATGATAAATGGTGGATATATTGCATATGAAGCGCCATCTGGATTTATTATTATTAGTAAATGGTTACGGTTATGCGCCTCTTAAGTATTGTGCGCGCGCAATGGGGTTGCGTTGCTCCAGCTAGTACAGCAATTAATAATTCGCATCGATTCCCACCACCTATGTTCTTTTCCTACATAAATTGCGCATTGCGTTACACCATGATTTTTGTGAGTGTCATCAGTCACGTGCTCTCTATTCTTAGTAACAGCGTAATATTTAGGATTGATTGATCCTTATTACCCGTCGCAATGATCCGCGCTGAACGGTTTCGCTGTAACTGCTTTGTTGAGATTCCAGTTCATTAAACGGTCTTGTGTAAATTAACTTTGATTCGTATAACAATTTTAAAGCAAAATATGAATTTATCATATTCAATTACGAAGTCAAGTCTACTTAGTATTTGAATAATTCAAATGTATTAGTAACCAACGTGAAAACTACTTTTTACATGCGCATTAATATCTATACTCGCCATCTTTGTTGTTGACAAACTGACTTTCCAGACGCAAACATTAAGTATTCGTAACGATTTAATATACAATATCAGACCTCAAAATGAAGTGGCAATACAAAGAGGAGCACCCTTTTGAGAAAAGACGTGCCGAGGGAGAAAAAATTCGCAAAAAGTACCCAGACAGAGTTCCAGTGAGTAATATGTCGAGGGAAACAAATTAAACAAACGGACTTTTAATGTTTTGATACAACTACAACACTAGCAATGTTAAGTTGATCTAGCTATTTTTTTAAAGGCACACTGCCAAGTCCAACACATTAACAATCACTGTTAATATGAAATTAACCAGTTTAGTCAACTGTTAAGGTATATTTATAATATTTAGGCAATCAATTTTAACCCTTTGTCTTTGTATACATTGATTGCCTCATTACTCATTAGTTTAGAGTTTCAGTGCCAAGATGTTCTACCTCACTTATTTTTTAACTTAAGTTTAAGACAGGACAGCTTTTCACAATCACAAGTCACAAGATTACAATCATTTTGCAAAAAGATAAAAAAGAAAGTTATTAGTCTAGGATATTTTACTTAACTTAAAATATATTTCATGAAACTAAGTTTAATATTATTGAAGGAAATGGAATTAACTAATGAAGTCTTTAACTTAAAGAAATAATTGAAATATCACTGAATATCAGCATTTATATAAATAAATGAACTATCCTGATTTGCATAATTTATTTATGAACTTTAAATAAAAAAATTATGAGGTATGCACTTTTTTTTAACACCTAGAATAGGACTTACTTGCAGGGTGATATCATTTATTGATGGTCTCTAGGGGCATCATGGTAATCTCACATCTTGGCGCAATAAATTTAATTTTAATGCAAATGGATTAGCCTTTTTTGTTTGTTTCATAGTTTACTTTTTTTATTAAAAGTTTAAAATGAATAAAAGTTTAATTATGTTGGCTTACAACTAAAAAGTTAACAGAATTTAGCTAACAAATTACATTGAAATGTTGTTTAGGTAATTGTGGAAAAGGCACCTAAAGCAAGAGTTGGCGATCTGGATAAAAAGAAGTACTTAGTACCATCAGATTTGACAGTTGGTCAGTTTTACTTTCTGATCCGAAAAAGAATCCACCTGAGACCAGAAGATGCTCTTTTCTTCTTTGTCAATAATGTAATTCCTCCGACAAGTGCAACCATGGGTGCTTTGTACCAGGTAATGACCAGTGTGTAGCAAAATGAATTATTTTAGTTCAAAAATTTTAGATAATTTGCAACAGCATATCCAGGTAGTAGGGAAAAAAAAATCCAGGTGCTATTTTAAACCCAACAATATCATGTTCTACATAATTCAGTCTAGTTGGTAGTTCCAATAATGTTGAATTTGTTTTGTTTTTACAGGAGCATCATGAGGAGGATTTTTTCTTATATATTGCTTACAGTGATGAAAGTGTTTATGGTGCATAAAGCCTATGGATGTTGCAGGCTTTCCTTTACCTTCACTACCATAAGTGGCACATTCTGATTAAGAGACAATATGTTAAATATCAATCATGTACAACATTAAATGTGGATTTAAAAAGAAAAGAACATGACTGTATATATTTTGGTGCATCCATTGGAGTCTTTTCTATTCAGCAAGCATAGAGAATTTTAGGTGTCATTTTAAGATTTCTAAATTCCTTTAACAACTTTTTTAAAGCTAACCTTTTCAAACTTTTTTCTCTAACATCAAATATAGCTGTTCACTCCGTTAAAAGTTAAGATCTAACAGTAGTTGTAGCAGTAGAAAAAAATAAAACATTGTTTTACTTCTTTCTGTAGGTTTAACATTAGTACTGCTGGAGTCTGTCTGATTTTATTAAATATTTTGTATTTTCTCTTTATATTGTTCTGTCAATGGTCAATAGTTTCATTACACTAAGCCAACATTGAAAAATTATTATCAATACCAATTTCAGAAAGCATTCATTACCAATAGCCATGTGTAATAAACAAAAGCTTCTGAGATGTTTTTCATACTCAATTATTCCTATCTGAACATGTTAACTCTTAATTCTTCTTTACAATAAATCTGCACATAGAAAAATGTACCACTTTGTTATGTAATTGACTCAAAGTGCAGTAACACTTTTTCATTTATGTTTTAATGCTGTCAAGAAAATACAGTTATCCTTCCTGGACCCATTTTGCAAACAATGTGTTTAATTATTTTTGTTTGGGGTAACTTTAAACTGGGAAGCCATCGCACTCACTTGTGCAATTGTTCCAAAAGGCTGTTGTCTTTCATGATGCTTAAGTTTTGAACTAATAGTTTTGGGTCAGAAATCAAACATCATCCTAAACATGGGAAAGTTAATTCAGAAAGATTTATTTTTCTGATAACAAATTTTGATACCGGTATTAAATTTTTAGTTTTTTTTTCTTAGTGGCTTTTTGTGTGTGCATAAATTGTATGTGGGTGCAGGAATAAAAAAAAAGGTTTTAAATTTAACATGGATTCATTGCTGTTTTCAGAGTTGCACATATAGCACTGTGTAAGTTATACAGTCAGATGAATAAACTTAACATGCAGTGAATGCAGCTTTTTAATGTGTTCTTAACTTAACATACTGTGGATGTTGTCTTTCAAATGTGTTGGATCAATTTACTAAGTGTTCTTGAAGTTAAAATACTCTTTAATAGGTTAACTTAACTATTCAATTTTAGTTTTGAAAATTTTGAAGTGCCCTGGTTAGTAACAACAGGATTTTAAAAAATGATTAAAGATAAAAACTGTCCTCTACGGATATGATAGTTTTATAAACCCTGTACCAAATCAATTTGCGTCCCTTGCTTAGCATCAACAGGTATTTTTTACAATTTGAATTATATTTTTTATATACCATATAAAACAGCAATATTATACAACTGTTCATCAGTGCAAGTATCTTAGATAGATCTGAAAAAACCCAAACAAAACAACTTGTACTGTGAAAGAACTATATAAAATCACAAACAACTGCTTTTATATTTTAATGACTTCAAACAAATTTTTTAATTTGATAATTTAGGGGATCATGTCATTATGTAATTGAACAGTAAATTTTCAAATAGACATCTTAACATAATTTTCTCGTTTAAATCGCTGGTATGGGTAAATTCACATAAAAAAACCCAGAACAATAGATGACTGCCGTACCATTTGCAAGAATAGGACTAGGCTAGCTGAGTTATCAAATAACTGATTAAAATACTATTATAAAATGTCACAATCTGTGCAACATTATCACAAATTTTTCATTTGCAGTATCACAATCAAATTGTGTTTTAAATGCCTCATATACTTTCATAAGATGTATGTTTTGGTCAAGGATACCATTCTTTTATTAATGTTGTGTTAGTATTTTTTTAGAACAGAATATATGTACCGGTATGACAAGTCATACAATTTTTACTGTAAATATGATTATAGATAGCCCACGTAGTAAAACAGTGAGGTACAATTCCAACCCAGCCCTTAGAATTGATTAAAAAAATATCCACAGATTACCATATCATGGAAATTCCAAATTTTCCACAATCAATTTTAAATTATAAAAAAACAACACAGTTCGCAACTGCAATTAATCTTGAAATTTTATCAGTTTCAGACAAAAGTACACCTTGTGTTTCTGTGCCCACACACATGATTTTTTTCTTCGAAGAATCTATTTAATGCACCCAAGATTGTCATAGAAAATTTGTGTTCACATAAGTGATTTGATCATTGTTCAAAAAATTGTTACACAAAATGGATAAGATTTAACAAAAAAAATCAGGATATATATACTTTCTTACTTTAAAATTTACGAAACCACTGAAGCTGGTTTAGTATTTAAAAGATAAATTATTTAACTGATACTTCTATCTGAGCTGGCATAATGTAAATATGAATATTATTTTAAAACAGAACAACACAGGACATTTTAATAATGGCCTTAAAATAGGACCATTTAATGATAGCCTTAAAATAAAAATAACTATGTACATGACTTACAAAATAAACATACATACATACCCTACATATCCATTTTATTCACTTAAAAAATGATATTTAATATATTAATACATCTGGAATTTTAATAATAATAATAACTTTAAATCCACACTAATTTATATTAGGCTTCTCTCATTTATAAAATAAACATCAATAGATATGACACAATCTGCAGATTTATAAGTTATAGGAATGCAAGTGGTGCGTGAAGTCACCATTTATAATGAACACACTATACCAATAACAAGTCATGACATTTGATTATTAAACAAATCAGGCCAAAGCTGTAAGCAACAACATTTATGATTAAACAGTTGTCTAGGTCCTAAACATTTCTGTGTGATACTTTTAAACAATTCCATAACCTTTATTCCTCAAACTTGCATGCAGCCATGTCACCCCATGTTATACGACCTCATGATTGTCATAATTTATCCTTTGGAGTTGGAGCACTAACAAAAGAGATTAGTGAATATTGCAATAGTAATACTTTGATTAAAAATGTGGTTTAACATGAAATGAATTAATAATCATGAAACTTCATTTGCAGAGGGAATATGAGATTGGGTTTTGCAGTAACTATTATTAAAAAAAAATATTTAAAATGTATAAAAACAACACCAGGGGGAGACAAAGAATCCCATCCAAAATATTTTTCTCAGCTCTTCGCGTAATAGTAAAGCATTCCTCACTCTAAACATTAACAGAATGTCAAAGCAATTTGTCTCTTGTGCCCAAAGTACATTGAAATTTAAGAAGATACCGATTGTCATATTAAATCAATGAACTTCAGGGATGATAAAAGTTTTAATATTAATAAGTTATTTGGTACAAAAATAACATCATCATGAAAATTACTACACACCCAATTTTCAAAAATAGAATGTGATTTTAGGAAATAAAAGAATGGAAGCTAATTTGAAATATTAGTACCTGTATTAGAATTAGCATTAAAAAAAATCCAGGTGGAAGAGGTGGTTAAAAGTATCACAACCCATCAAAATAAATTCAGTTTTAGTGTTGGATATTGGGTAGAAATTATCTCCTTAGTTAAGAAGGTGATTATTTTAAATAAATCAAATCAAGGTATTAAAAGGCTGCAGATGAAGCAGTGAAAAATGCAGAAGATGCATCAAATTTGATCCAGGACTGTTTAAACAAGTGCTGGGAAGCATAACTTCAGAAAATGTAAAATGTGTCCTTTTGAATTCTCCACAATTGTAATATTTTGGAATTTACTCTTTAACAAGTAAAATAATCCAATATTATGAGCAAATTTCTTCCTGTTGTAAGTTAACAAGCTCTGACTAGTTCACCTTGACACAGTTCATAGGATCTGAAAAGTCACTGTGAATTATTTTTAATACTTTAATATTTAAAAAAAACAACACAATGACATTTAAGTTTTCCGAACTAACCCCTAATGGGTGTAAAATTTAATAATTGAAACTAGCCCAGATTAATTAAGTCTCCACAAAATTTAATCTTTTCAGGACATGTGAAAGTTGGTTAAAAAATGACCTACAATTGAAAAAGATGAAACAACACTAATGTCAAACAGAATTGAAGTTAAAGAGGGCAAAAAAAAAGACCCAGATTGACGTGTACAATAATATTTTACATTGCATTTCATCACTGATAGTGATCAACACTTGTACTGAAATGTTAAAGAAATAAGACCAACTAGTTTTAGTTACTAAAACCGACAATGTCAATAACTAAACTTTTTTCTATCCATCCTCTTGATTAGCACTTACAAGTCATATCACATACATAGGAATACAATTTTAATTAAGGGCACACTGCCAAAAAATATATTTTATTAGGCAATACATTTGAAGCAACAGATCTTGAAGTTTTAGAGATCAGTTAATAAGATGCACAATTTTTAATATCATTTATAGATATAGTGCAGGGTTTCCAGACCACACATGAGGGGATTTCTTCAGTCATGGGTTGCAGAATACAGAAACAAGACATTATTTAGCATAATTACAGCTCAATTTTTGTTTTGTTTTGGTAACAATAAGTTTCAGATCCCCTGATTGAATGTACCTTATACAAATAAGGTTTCAGTTATTCCATACTGTATTACTTATAGAGGAATCACGCTGAATTAAATATAAATAAATAATTTGTCATTCATGGAATACCATCTCCCAAAAGTAAGTTAAGTATGCGATTCTTTTTGAACAGATAAAAAAAAACATAATATACCGCATTTATTTATATATATAGTAAAAAATAATATAAAGAGTGGAGAATAATAGGATAATTTAAACATTGGTTAAAATTTATATATTCTATATGCATGTTGGGGGGGGGGCATTTAAAAACTTTTATAAGCAACATTATGATCAAAACCATAAATGCTAATGGGTGAATTGTCTTTTTAAAATATTAAAAAAATATCAATATTAGTACGATTATTACAATCTTGAGTACCGGTAATTCAAAGCCAGAGTCTTACTTTGTTTTTCTCAACAACTTTCACAGCAATGGTTAAGGGGGTATAATTGAATGAGCATGTACTGAAGCTGAAAACTTAAACATGGAATAAATAAAAACTTAAACATAAATTGTCAAATGCAGAATAACCCTGACTTCAAAAATCTCGTTTGAAGAGGACCTCTCAACTTTTTAGTATACCAGCAGGAAATCTTTTCTTCCTACCAATTAAATTTTACCTTTTAACCCGTCAAGTGAAGTTACATTTGTTTACAGAATTTTTATCAGAGAGGAAGCTAAATTTCACCTTGAACACCTCACCCTAGTGGCGAATCATCTATCCAAACTATTCTTAAATTAGAAATGGACCATACTATGAGAGAGAGAGAAAGAGAGTGGGGCTATAATAGTATTACAGTTTAATAACAGGCAATCTAGTTCACCTGAAATGTTTAAAAAATTATGTTAGTCAAATACGTTTTAGATTACACTTCTTCAAAAGTTCACTTAAATGTTTAAAATGAAAGTAGACATTTAGAAAAACATGTCTACTCTATATCAGTATTACTTGCGTAGCTTTCTCTAAATATGTTTGCAAATAAACCAAAGACAGCTAGAAAACATAATTAGCTATGATTCCTTTAGAAAAAGTGCAAAGCTTTATAATTGAAATAGTTCAAGGTAGTGAAACGAACAGTGATTGCAGTAGATCAAGGTAATGTTTGACAGATGGAAGACACAAAAAAGTTATCTTTTTCCACTGATAAATAAATGTGACTGTATGTTATGCATTTCTGCAGACATTATTATAGCAGTTGCCATTACAGCATAATAAATACAGTGAGAGCAGACGTATTGCAGTTAAAGTAGATGTATTACAATGAGAGCAGATGTATAACTGTAGGAGCAGAAGTATTACAGTGAGAGCAGACATATTTCAGGGTTGACAAGCCATTTAACAGTATTTGGTGAACAAAAAACCCCCCAGTAAGTTACAAAATAGATATGTTTATGTGGTCACAGCTTACAATCAATGACGTGGCTAGGATTGGTGCCACCTGGAGGGGAGGGGGGAAGGGTCAAGCTTTTTGTCCCCTCTCCCCCATAAAAGTAACTCATCAGCTGGCCGAAATATCGACGAACAATATAAAGAAAAAATGCACCGCCTTTTCTACAGTACTGCTTACAATTTAGTCCAGCTCAGGCCTTCTTTTCTCTGCCACTGGTGTCAGGCCCAGGCCTTCTTTTCTCTGCCACTGGTGTCAGGCCCAGGCCTTCTTTTCTCTGCCACTGGTGTCATGCCCAGGCCTTCTTTTCTCTGCCACTGGTGTCAGGCCCAGGCCTTCTTTTCTCTGCCACTGGTGTCATGCCCAGGCCTTCTTTTCTCTGCCACTGGTGTCAGACCCAGGCCTTCCTCTCTACGCCACTTAGTGTAAAGAAAAAGTGCTCCTCCTCATGGCTGTTGATAGAAAGGGGTTTGGCTCGGGCTCAGTATCCGTCATGACAACTTTCATTGACTGTCGAGTTTTACTAGCGGCTCTGACAGAGTCAAGGACAGTCTGAACATAGAAACAGTCCTCAAATGTTGCTGCAGCATTCAGGGGATCAGGACTCCAACCCTGTCTCTCCTCCACCTGCTGGAATGCATCTCGCACAGACTCGATCATCTTTATCACACCTTTCATGTAAGGTACCGGAATTTCACCCCTTACCTTTTCATGTATTCCAAGGGAGTCTATATCCTTGTAGTTAACGGGGTCAAAGTTCAACAATTCTTCTTTAACCCTGTCATGTTTTTGCCCATACAAGTCAGCACCTTTAAGCACTAGACGTCCTTTGGTTCCAACTATTAAAATTTCCTGAAGGAACTGTCCAGGCACATGGCCGTTGAGGGTTATTGTGGCACAAGCACCGTGGTCCATCTCCATTTGAAATGAGCAGAAATCATCGCTGGTTATTTCACGTATACCCTTCACAAAATCTGTCTGCTTGGTGTAGGTTTTTAACATGCCCTGGACCCTGACAGCCCGCTGACCAGTCACGTGGCTCAAAATGTCCACAATCATTCCTCCGTACATGTTCAACAGGCCACCGCCCATCATCTCATCACACATCCAGTCAAATGTGCTACGCAGTCTCTGCCCATAGTGCACTTTCACTTCACATATGGTTATATCTCCTATGAAGCCATCCTTTATGTAGGCTCTCATTTTGACAATGGATGGCAGAAAACGAAGTCCATTGCACATTAAGGACATCAGCTTCGGGTAGTATCTAGAGGCATGAACCATGGGGAGGGTGTCTCGGCTGCGAGGGCCAGAGGGAGGGCTACAGAGGACATGTTTTCCTATTCCCAGTGCCTTTGCAGCAATGTGGGCCTGGAGATGTGGTGAGCAGCTGATGACAACAAGGTCCACATCTTTGTGTAGTAGCACCTGCAAATAAAATATGTGGTGATTTAGGTTGTTTGCTGTCTCCGGCGTATGAAGAGAAGATAAAACAATAATGACAGCGTCCTGTCTAACTGACAAAAAAAAAAGAGGAAGAATCGTTATACAGAGATATGCATACACCTAAAAAGGAAGATTATTCACAATTTGTTTATTGTTGCTAACAAATAGCGAAACCAAAATCTGTCCTGGGTAAACAAAAATATTTGAGGATCAGTGGTTGCCATTAGGTCTATTCCCAGGGGGTGCAAGGAGGCATCATAGGGGGTGGCCAGAAAGGGATTATAAGAACAGGGGAGACGTTGGCTTTTAAGTTATAATATAAATTTTTATTTATTTTTAAACATTTCAAACATTTCTTTATAAAAATTGTCCTCTATGTAATTAGCCATAAACATATTTCCTTAGCTTTTAAGTTCTTTTTGCATTTCAATATAAGCATTAGATAGAAATAGACGTCCATTATATTCATATTAGATAGAAATAGACGTCCATTATATTCATATTAGATAGAAATAGACGTCCATTATATTCATATTAGATAGAAATAGACGTCCATTATATTCATATTAGATAGAAATAGACGTCCATTATATTCATATTAGATAGAAATAGACGTCCATTATATTCATATTGGATAGAAATAGACGTCCATTATATTCATATTGGATAGAAATAGACGTCCATTATATTCATATTGGATAGAAATAGACGTCCATTATATTCATATTGGATAGAAATAGACGTCCATTATATTCATATTGGATAGAAATAGACGTCCATTATATTCATATTGGATAGAAATAGACGTCCATTATATTCATATTAGATAGAAATAGACGTCCATTATATTCATATTAGATAGAAATAGACGTCCATTATATTCATATTAGATAGAAATTGACGTCCATTATATTCATATTAGATAGAAATAGACGTCCATTATATTCATATTAGATAGAAATAGATGTCCATTATATTCATATTAGATAGAAATAGACGTCCATTATATTCATATTAGATAGAAATAGCCGTCCATTATATTCATATTAGATAGAAATAGACGTCCATTATATTCATATTAGATAGAAACAGACGTCCATTATATTCACATTAGATAGAAATAGACGTCCATTATATTCATATTAGATAGAAATAGACGTCCATTATATTCACATTAGATAGAAATAGACGTCCATTATATTCATATTAGATAGAAATAGACGTCCATTATATTCACATTAGATAGAAATAGACGTCCATTATATTCATATTAGATAGAAATAGACGTCCATTATATTCATATTAGATAGAAATAGACGTCCATTATATTCATATTAGATAGAAATAGACGTCCATTATATTCATATTAGATAGAAATAGACGTCTATTATATTCATATTTTAAATGTATTTTTACTTTTGTTGGGGGTGAAAACTTTGTACCTTAAAACAATTTTTTAGAGTTTCGATACTAGTCAAATAATTTGTAGGCGGAGCTGAGTATAGAAAAGGCTGCGAAAAACTGCCTTATTTTAATTTAAAAAAAGTACTGCTTAGTGAAAAGCGTAGAGACTTTTAACATCAATATAGGCTCTCCATTTTCTTATTCATGGTTGTTTCTTGTCTGTTCTCTTGAAGAAGGCAATCTAGCCAGAACGCTCTTTGGGTTGTCCTGTCTTTTCATTTCAAGCGTTATCATCTTCTTTCACTTTTTCCTTCAAATGGCTCGAATGCAATCTCTCATATATAACCAAAAGTGGGGAAAGGTTTCACACTTCTAAAATACATGGCCAAACTGCAACTCACCTTGTACTATACATGACTTCTTTCAGTGGGCTGGTATGAAAGATTAAAAGTCAAGAAGAGAATGTGACCTCTCCTTGCTCTCAAGCAAGCAGATAAATTTTCACTACTCATGTAAAATGTAACTAAAGAGGAATAGTTTTTTTTTTTAAAAAAGTGACCTTGTCCACATCTGTTGTGTACATGTCAATCCCCAAGTCCTCAGAAAGCTCTTTGGCCTCTTCGGGAGTCCTCGCCCACAGTGCAACTACCTCAAGACCACAGGATTTCAACATAGGAATGTAGCACCTAAAATAAGTAAAATAGTAGCCATTTTAACATAGGAATGTAGCACCTAAAATAAGTAAAATAGTAGTCATTTTAACATAGGAATGTAGCAACTAAAATAAGTAAAATAGTAGTCATTCATATCTGTATCAGAATTTGCTTTAATTACCAAATAAAGTAAGGCAACAAGAGAGTGCCTTTAAATTCTTTTAATTTATTGAACACACACAACAAAAATGGACTTAATCTACTTAAGAATTTCAGTTCAGACTGAATAAAAATAGTTTTTCAAATATATTATAACAAAATTTAATAAATCTTTCTTTGAGAGATATCTGCTTAAGTAATATCAGAAAAAGGAATTATTGTATGCGTCATTCTCACACCAGTTATCGTTGATAGTTATTAGACTCATATAACTGAAAAAGCTGTAGAAATCCTAACAACAATAATGCTTGAACCAAGGAAATACAGACCTCATGGCAGGAGTGTTGCCGAAAACGCCCACACCAGGCAACATCTTTCTCATGTTGTTAGCAGAGTTATCCAGTGGTTGGGCTTTCCGTCTCTAGCTGGATTGTTAAGGTTATCAGTTGAAACTACGAGATGGGGGTCTGTAAAATGAGTACCAGTCAAAATGTTTAATGATTAATTTCAGAATAACATACAATACTATTTGTTAATTTATAGTGTACCTAACCTTACGTTACAAAGTATTACACTACCAGGGGAACTGTGTAAGTTAATTTATAGTTTACCTAGTCTTAAGTTACTTAGTGTCACCATCATTACTATTACTCATTTGCTTATTGTTGGTGAGTGCTGCTGGTCTATAAAAATGCATGATGAACTAGGAACAAGCCTACTACTACTTTAAAAATGCGGGCTTGGTTCTTTCAGTCGCCGGCAGTTCAACCGAAATTGATATCATAAATACTTGCATCATTCATCAGTTAGTTATGTGCCAAAATAGAGCAGTTAATTTAACAGTCATGAAAATTATAAATTTAAAAAAAAAAATAATTTTATTCTTCATTGCAGCATGGTCAGTTTAAAATTTTCTGAGATGTGTCATGGGCAGAACATGCTAATTTAGTTTTTCATATTTTTTTGTAAACATTTCTTGCTAAATTGAAATGATGTCAATGAGTTTATGATAATTGACAAAAAAACAAGACTGTCATGGAGGCTCAACAGAAAAGACATTTCTTTCAGTAAAATCTTGCACTGTTTGACAGTGATTTGTAATCAAGTCAGCTATGTTTATTCTATTTTCATACAGTCCGTAATTATGTGACAAAAGAACAGCTTGATCAAGTCAGACTAATGTTCAACCTCATTTAAAGATCTTGTAGGGCTGTCAAGAAAATCGTTGCAGATCCATTTATTGTCCTTCCTAATGTTGAATGGACAGCTGCTTTTGCAGCTACTTTTCCCATAATTAGTCAAGCTGCCTATTAGGCCTTTTGTAAACTCACTAAATGAAGGATGGGCAATCTTTTTTTTTTAAAAAAGCTTGAGTTGTAGTTGTAGTGAATGAAAAGTAAAATTCTTCACACTATACTATACAAATCATGAAATTTAAAATCAAACACTGCTGCTAAATAAAATTATTATTTATATGAAGAAATCAGCTGTCTAATAATATTTGACAGTGAGTCCCTCGGGGGTTGGACCCTTTTACTTAAAATCAGGCCATAAAGGCATCCTGATGTCATACAATATTAAATTTTAATGTGTCCATCTGTACTAACTGTGTTAGGCTAATTGATTTGATGCCACTTCACAAATAATTCAAAATTAGTCTCATAAATAAGTGTATGACATATAGGCTAACTGTGATTTAGGCTTACCATTTGGCATTTATTTTGTCCACGGAAGAGAGCAGACCAAGTTCAGAGCTATGGTCTGCTAGCTAGTAGTGCTAACTGTCAACAGAAAACAGTAGGCCTTGTCAGTTACTTGTTAGCCTACTTATTTTTGATGTCTTAGTTAGGGCAGGCGTTAGTAGTATTATAAAAAATTAGGCTTACCTAGTGACTAGTGCCATTATTATTAAATTTTTTTTTTTTTTTTTTTAGGATCCTATTAATTCATTATGTAGAAGTAGAAGAGTAGGGGGTAAATGCAAAGAAGAGATGCCATGTTTTTTCCTATTGCCATCTTTGTTGACAAAAACATTTAATTCTATACTTGTTAGCCTACTTATTTTTGATGTCTTAGTTAGGGCAGGCGTTAGTAGTATTATAAAAAATTTGGCTTACCTAGTGACTAGTGCCATTATTATTAAATTTTTTTTTTTTTTTTTAGGATCCTATTAATTCATTAGGTAGAAGTAGAAGAGTAGGGGGTAAATGCAAAGAAGAGATGCCATGTTCTGTCCTATTGCCATCTTTGTTGACAAGACCAGTTAATTCTGTCACTAAATCTAAGTAAATGTATCCCTAAATCTGCAACTTTAATAAACAAGCAAATGACTTCATGGCATCTCTTCTATGCATTGACGGAGTAGGCATATATTCATTATATAATATTAACTTATTAATATTATTAAGTTTAAGACTTAATTATAATTATTTATAAGTAATTTAATAAAAAATGTATTATGATTCATAGTCATAGCATAATGGTAGCGTACTGAACATAGGCTAATCCATAGTAGTAACTATCATACTATACTTCTTAGTCCCACTTTGAGGCTAGGGCCTAAACTAAAGGCAAAACAAAGGCAAGGCCTAAAGGCTAAAGCCTAAGCCTAAGCCTAAGCCGTGGCCGTAGGTCTAAGTAGTTAAGTTAAAGTTAAGTCTAAGTAAGACTTTTGACTTTGAATTAAGTAAATTAAATTTCTAGGTAGATTGTTTTAGAGTAGAGAACAGACAATTTAATGTATTAGCTCTCGACTAGTTGTTAAGTGTGTAAAATTATTATTATCCTAAGCTACTAGCCATGTATTCATTTAACTAGAAATACATGATTAGAGATTAGCAGGTGAATTTATTTGGTTTATTTGGGATACCTCCGTCCTGGTCTCGCCATTTACCGAGATGACAGAAATACTACAAGGCAGGGTTTTATATTTAAACGGCTTTGAGATTAAAACAAAAAGACAACTCACCTTTTAAAATTTTAATTTGCTAAAGCTAAATTAAATTATTAAATTAAATATAGAGTTGTTTATCATTTCAACAATTAACATAAGAAACTTCATTAAAAAGATGCTTGACATTGTTTGTTTGTTTTTTTAAATAGAGAGGCTACCTACCGAACTATAAATTTTTAAATTAAATGAATTCGAAACGAAATTTTACTTTAAAGACAATTATTGCTATTGTTTGCAGAATGCATTCCGAAGTGTCGCCTCACCAGTGAAACAGACACGATTAGTGGAGTCACTCTTGTCCAAAACAGTGGCGTAGAAAGAGTTTGTGACACCAGTGGCGGTCATTTACTTTGTCACTCCCATTTACTACGGAAAGTACAAAAATATTGAGTACGTAAACTCAAAAAAGAATTTTAATAATAATAATAATAATAATTCATAATTGAATTTGAAAGTATTGCATGTCTTTTAAACTTTCATTAAAATCCAGTTTTATCCTTATTTTTTTAAAATGGTATTCTCATTAACGTTTAATTTCTTCTGCTTATAATGTGTAAGGTAAGCAAGAAGAAACCACACGGGCTTAAATTTCCCTTTTTAAGTCGCTTCACACTTAAGTTATTTTGAATTTCTACAGACAAGTCAATTAAATTTACTTTCAAACATAAACCAATATAGTATATATGTTGGATTGAAAATCCCCCCCCCCCACCCTCTATATAGAAACCTTATGCAAGATGTGCTATTTACTCCCACCCACCCCAAACTCGTTATTTCTTTTCTACGAAAGAATCAAATTAAAACCCAAATATAGTCCATCCAGAACTATATTTATAGACTATATCTATCTTCTCAAACAACATCAAAGTCTAACGTTGAAACAATCAATTTGTGATCTTCCCGGTAACATTTGATTTATTTTGTTAAATATGTTGATCAGAATTCATTATGTAACGTAGTGTTGCAAATTTCTCCAAAGGTTGCACAACGGCAGTCTCATCACAGATGAGAAAAAGTCCTGCCCCTGAAAAACCTTGCGTAGATCCGAATTACCTCATGGCTTAATGTGGGAAAAATGTCCAAGAATACATGGAATCAGAAGAGGCAGCAGCACTCAATGCGCCCATCAATGTATGTGAAAAAAATGGGGGGGGGGGGGGGGGGGGGGGAACGCCCCCCCCCCCCCCCCCCCCCCTTTTTACGCAAGTGGCCTAAATGTACCAAGTGCCAAATGGTGAGATTATTTGCATTTGTCTTCAAGCTTTCGAGTTGATACAGAAGGCTTTCAGTGTGGCTTTCCGAATGTCTTTGAAGCGTTTCTGCTTCTATCATATTGCGTGCCCTGCTTCCTTACGCTCGCAAAACAATTTTCTCTTTCGTATCTATGAGTCTTCCGTGCGCAAAACAAGAACATGCACAGGAAAAGCTGCATTCCACTTGTCCCGTTTCATCAATAAATAATGTATGATATAATATGTATGTAAATGATAATTCACGGTGTTGGCGCCACATTGAGACTGGCGATTAAAGGAGTCACTGACTCTTTGCAAAGCCATTGACTTAGCCTAATGATAATAATGCTACACGAAGCCAACAGAACAGCTGCTACACACCAAGTAGTCGATCGAGAAAAATCCCTTGCTCTTACTTCAAAAGACATTGCGGTGCGAGGCCTGGTCTCATCGGTCATCTGCTCACTCACAGGCCTACTCTTCTCCAGCATCCCTCGGATGGTACATGTGGTCAATGTTAAATTGTCAAACAAACACACACGTCCACACACACACATTTTATATATATATATATAATATATATATATATATATATATATGTGCATACACACACATGTTAATGAAAGTGGTCCTTGTTGAGTTTTTAGACGAACAGACACACACACCCGTGTTGATAAAACAATGAAAAAAAACAACAACTACAAAATAAAACCGTTCTTAATTTTTACTTTTATGTTCAAAGACGATTATTCTTCTGTCAATTTGTATATTTTTATTCAGATTGTCAAGAGATGTTCAGATGGTCAAGAGATGTTCAGATTGCCAACAGATAGTCAAGAAATGTCCAGATGGCCAAGAGATATTCAAATAAGAACCGTAACTGTTTCATTTTCCGGATCATTTAAAAAAAAAAAATTCTGTATATTTACTTCGCTTTTGTTCGTGTGTTTCCATGTTTCTTTATAGCCAAATCTTCGGAAGGCTAACTGACCCACTTCCCGTCATCCAATCGAACTGAAACTTGGCACATAGAATCATTGTCAATTACAAATCATTTTTTCTTATTTTGAGCCACACCCAACACCACCCCACCCCCGCCAAAAAAAAAAAAAAAAAATCTTTCCTGATTTTCAAATAATTGTTGGTGCCGAACTTCCAAGAAAAGTTAATAAAATTTAACTGTTATTAAAAGCTTTTTACGACTTAAGTCCCTCAACAAAAGCCATTGCAGCAAAAAAAAAATTTTTTTTGAAGGAGAAAATGAAAAAAAAATTATGAAACGTCTTTTCTCCAGACGTTTGCCCATCTCCATAACCGCTTCTTAACAAAAGATTAATCACGAAAAATTACATAAATTCATAACGTCAAACAGAAATGCATGTAAAGGATTTTTTATGAAAAACGAAGTTTTGGGTGTTTTCTTAGTGTATTAAAATCCATTCAAAGTAAATGGGCAGAGGCAACACTTTGCTAGCCAGTCATCGTTAGCACGTAGAGATCTTGGGATTTTCCATTGAGCAATGAGCCCTTGTCATATGGTCTGATACAACTCTGACCACTGTCCCCTTGTCATACACACTTTTCTAACCCTGATCAATGTCACTTGTCATACGCCCTTCTCTAACCCTAACCACTGTCCCCTTGTCATACGTAATAGCATAATCCAACCGATGTCCCTTGTCATACGCCCTTCACTAAACCTGACCAATGTCACTTGTCATACGCCCTTCTCTAACCCTGACCAATGTCACTTGTCAAACGCCCTTCTCTAATCCTAACCAATGTCACTTGTCATACGCCCTTCTCTAACCTTACTCAATGTCACTTGTCATACACCATTCTTTAACCCTACTCAATGTCACGTGTCATACACCCTTCTCTAACCCTAAACAATGTCACTTGTCATACGCCCTTCTCTAACACTAAACAATGTCACCTGTCATACACCCTTCTCTAACCCTAAACAATGTCACTTGTCATACGCCCTTTTTCATTTCCCCTTTCATCCACTTTTAAATAAACTAAAAACAAATGATAACAAATTAAAAAAAAAAATTGTACCACAATTCTAGATCATTGAACATTCTCACAGACCAATTTTTTACCAAATCACACAGAACTATGATTTAACAATCACATAGAGCATAACTGAACAATCACAGAGACCAATGATTTAACATTCTCACAGTTCAATGATTAACATTCACACAGAGTACTGATTGTACAAGCACACGGACTTCTGATTGAACAATCACACAGACTACTGATTGAACAATCACAGAGACCAATGATTTAACATTCTCACAGTTCAATGATTAACATTCACACAGAGTACTGATTGTACAAGCACACGGACTTCTGATTGAACAATCACGCAGACTACTGATTGAATAATCACACAGACCAATGATTTAACAATCACATAAACCAATGCTTGAACAATCACACAGATCAATGAATGAACAATCACTCAGAAAAATGATTTAAAAATCACACAGAACAATGATTTAACTATCACACAGAACAATGATTTAACAATCACAGAGACCAATGATTTAACAATCACATAAACCAATGCTTGAACAATCACACAGATCAATGAATGAACAATCACTCAGAAAAATGATTTAACAATCACCCAGAACAATGATTTAACAATCACACAGGCCAATGATTTAACAATCACATAAACCAATGCTTGAACAATCACACAGATCAATGAATGAACAATCACTCAGAAAAATGATTTAAAAATCACACAGAACAATGATTTAACTATCACACAGAACAATGATTTAACATTCACACAAGTCAATGATTTAACAATCATGCAGACCACTGATTAAACAATCTTACTGACAAATGCTTGATCAATCACAAAGAACAATACTTGAACAATCACTCATACTAATACTTGAACAATCCCACATACTAATGATTGAACAATCCCACATACTAATGATTGAACAATCACACATACCAATAATTGAAAAATCACACGGACCAATGACGTAACACACCCTCTCTATTAATATATTCTCTTAAACGTAATGGATACATGTCCTAACGGTGATGCAGACGATTAGACATAGTTGTATTCAAGGTTCATCTTCACACGATTTTAAAATACAATGTAAGGAGTAAGAGTTTGAGACTGGGAGGGGGGTGCCTGGGACCTACCTCTAAAATCAGACATCTTTTTTTTTTCTATCACAATCGGACTACGTGGTTTTCATTAAAATTTCGTCTTCTCGTCTTAACAACAAATGAAATCGTGCCTCCTCCATCGACGACCAAAACAAATGACATTGTTCGGTCCTGAGGTGAGTGCCCCCTATGTCGTTTTCAATGGGGCTTTCGTTTTCTAAAGAAACAAAGAAATAAAGTAAAAAAAAAAGATTAAAAAAAAGTCAACTGTGACCAGCAACAATGGCGACATGAAAACTTACAAACCAAAGACCTGTTGTCAGTAAAAGATGCAGAGTTATATAAAGGGAGGTAGATAGGTTGAGAATGTCACACTGTTCAATCGTCACCTGTCAGCGAGACACTCAACCACGGGTCATCAAAAATGGAGTCTCTAGCTCAAGTATTCGCATTTGGTGAGTCTTGTTTTGAAACATGTTCATGGTTTCAGTGGCGCCAATGGCGTCTATCCGAGCCGCCCCCCCCCCCAATTGTGTAGACGTCCCTGTGTAATTCAACACATAAGAAACTGCTTTTTCTTCGTTCTTTCTTTCCTGTTTTATAGTGGTTCGTATAAAAAATCGAAATACTGTGCAGTAGGATTTGCTCCATTTGACAAACATGTCATAGCCCATACCAGGGATTTCACATTTCTTAATCAGTATGTCTCACTATTTCTGAGTTTAAAAAAAAAATAAATTAGAGGAAAATATTTGTTAGGTGCTTTTGTAGAAGTTCTTGCGAATTGTAGGTTTATAAAATGATTCTATTTAGAACACTAAACTCGTTCGTGAAACGAGACCTCAGTGCATTACGCTCTTAAATGCTAAACCATATGAATGAGTATTAATGGATTTAAATTATATAGGGAAAACATTTCACTGACAACAAAAGTGGGGTTGGGGGTAGGGGGCAATCAAAACGGAAAAGCTCCCCCCCCTCCTACCCAGGAATCACGACCAACGGCAAGGCAGCAGCGAAGCCTTACCCACAGTTAACCAGGTCCCCACCTTTAACCAAAAGTGAATATGCAAAAATGGTGTAGCTGGGGTGGCTCCTTCAATTTTACGCCATTTTTCTTCAGGGGGGCAGTAACATCTTCGTCTCTTTTTTTTTTCCTTCATCAGCCATGTTTGTTGTGGTCATTACGGGTCAGTCCACTCCCACGTCAACAAGTACACCAGATGAGGTGAGTAGTGGTGGGTAGAAATGTGTGCAAGGCTTTTCCCGTTGTTGCCATATGATAGTAGGTCTTGTTACTTGTCACACATATGTACTGCCAGGCTACCAAAGTGCCTATTTCACTATTCTTATTATATCTGCACCATTAAACGATTCCAATCTTAAAGAGGTGTGTATGGGTGGGTGGGTGGGGGGGGGGGTCAATTCCTGCAGGAAAGTGAGGCATCGTCGTTCCTGTTCTCTCCCCCCCCCCCACTCACCAGGCTCGTCATTACCGTTAACACCCCAGAAGGACGGGGCTGGGGGCTGAGCGAGCCACCTGTCAGGAACATCAGAGAAGATCACCACACACCGTGGTTATTTTATTAGTACGCAAAACCAGTTTCCTAATATTTTTGTGTGCTGCATGTGTTCTGTTAATCGTTGCATACATGTAATGCGCAAAGCGCCACTTTAAAGCGAGTATTCCACTCTGTTTTGCTAAGAAATAAAGACGCCGCCCTTTTCGGGGGAGGGGGGGGTCGTTGGAAATATTAGGTAAGGTTCCACGCGTTTTTTTTAAAATATTTTTTTTTATTTTTGCACTGTAACCCCCCCCCCCACACACACACATTTTAAAACTTTTTGGGGGAGGGGGGGGGCGTTGGAAATATTAGTGTAGGTTCCCCCCTTTTTTTTTAAAATATTTTTTTTTTTTTTTGCACTTTCACCCCCCCCCCCCCCACACACACACATTTTAAACCTTTCAAAACTATAAGACCGCATTCAGAATTCTGTAAATAAATGGCAGTCACATCATTAACCAACGCCGGATACATAAAAAAATGGCTTTCATATAAATTATAGCGGCGCTGGATAAATAATAAAAAGGCCGTCACATAATTTGACGCTGGATTGAAGAGATCCATGGGGGTTAACTGTTCCGTTCAACATCGGATGATCAGCTTAACAGCTTAACAGCTTAGTTCCTTCAACACAACGAAATGACGTGTCTTTAACCTGATTGTTAACTAATGCAACTCAAAAAAAATTAAAAAAAAATAAATAAAAATAATAAAGTCAATAAATGGAACATAAAATTTTTAGAAATATGTTATTCTTTTTATACCAGTGGTTCTTGGAGGTCGAACGACCCTTACACAGGGGCTGGCCTAAGGGCCATCGGAAAACACATATTTATGACGTAGCAACGAAAATAACTTTATGGTCGGGGTCACCACAATGAGAGGAACTGCATTAAAGGGTCGCAGCATTAGGGAACTTTATGGTCGGGGTCACCACAATGAGAGGAACTGAATTAAAGGGTCGCAGCATTAGGGAGGCTCAGAGCCACTGTTTTATACAATGACATTGGCCACAATAAAATCACAGATATGTTTATTGAAAGTCATGTGCTTGGATTTCACTTGATAGTTGCGTAATTGGGTCATACGGCTCATGTCATCTCTTCACGATTTATCTGATTAAAAAAAAAAAAAAAGCTTTAAAGCCAGTAAATCCAGTTTTAAACATGACTGATGAGTGGAACAATGTGTGGAACAATGACTGAGGAGTGGAACAATGTGAGAACAATGACTGATGAGTGGAAACTAAGAAGAAATTAAAGGGATTTCTCTGTCTGAGCTTAATATTTTTTATGAATTGTTTTCCAGAACTTTAATTTTTTTATCACTATTTTTTTTTGTTTCATGTTTTTGTTTTGTTTACTGGTGCCATCAAGATGAGATTTCCCCCAATTATTAAATCTGGAAATTTAGTATCAATCATATTATCTCTTCAAAGTTAAGTAGCTTTTTTTAAAAACATTGATGGCTGTTAAGTTAAAAAAAAAAATTATATAATTGATATTTTGTTGAAAGACTGTCATGTTAATCTTTCATGTTAACCTGCCATGTTAACCCCTGTGCTCGAAATTAGCAGCGGTCGTTGCAATAAGACTATCTTATTTTTTATTATCCTTACATTCGAGGACTACAATAAGTCATTGGGGGTTACAGATGTAGATGATATATTTTAAAATAAAAACATTGACGCTACAAGTAAATATAAGAAAGCAAAGATTTAAGCAAAAATGAGAAGCCAGTTTTAGATGTAAAATCTTGTCTACACACGGCAGTAACGTTTAACGAACTTTATTTAACGGAAGCGGAAGCGATACCGCCATCTCCAAGATGTGATAAACCAAGTATTCACGTAATTTGATGGATTTAAAAGCCCCCCCCCCCCCACCTTTTGCAGCCTACTAAGTAGCTTTCCTATGTCTACACACGGCAGTAACGTTTATCGATCTTTATTTAACGGAAGCGGAAGCTATTCCGCCATCTCCAAGATGTGATAAACCAAGTATTCACCTAATTTGATGGAATTAAAAGCCCCCCCCCCCCCACCTTTTGCAGCCTACTAAGTAGCTTTCCTTTTAAGGAATAGATACAATCATTGGTATCTCATTTCCAAAACCAAAACAACACATACGCCAACCTCACGGAGCAGTGGCGTTGCAAGGGTTAATGCCGTCCACGTCCACAAAAAAAAAAAAGGCTAAAGTAGACCGAAAATATCACCGCTTACGTTTAAAAAGTCCCTCCCGGGGGAGCCCACCCCCCTGCGCATCCACCCCCAGCCACTGATATGGAGTCAATAGAAAATTGGTAAAAAAAACAACAAAACAAACTAAAGCAAGTGATGTTTCAAATGAACAAGTCCTTCCACAGTGTAAACGCCACTGCGCATGTCCCTTCAAAAATCGACAGAGCTTTGAGAGATTTCAACACAATACACTAATCACATCAACCGCCAAATGTGGAACCTATAAATAGAATGATCTCATATCTTTTAGGAGAAACCGCTGTCGTGCCAAAGGTCAGAGGGCATCATGGCCAACTGGCAGGATGACACCTGCAGGAGTTACTTCATCTGCGACAACTTTAATCTGACCGTTGTCACATGTGAGGAGGAAGAGGTTTTCAGCATCATGGAGAACGCATGCGTCAACAAGTAAGCACTAGCGGTTGTTCACGTTGCCGGATAAGAACGAATAAGAGCACAGTCGAACAAGAAACGAAACAGTGTTAAAGTAATTTTAAAATATAGACGTGATTGGAAAAAAAAAATAAAAAATTTCCAGCCTACTGCGTGGCATCGGTGGATATTATGATTCCAGGGCCACTTCTATGTCTTGAGAGTTTAAAATTAAAATTAACAATTGACATGTTCAAAAAGAAGATAGCATATTTTGGTTTAATTATAATTAAAAATTATAAAAATTATAATTAAAAAATTATAATTGTGGTTGCAGGAACGATTATAATGTTCGTGAGGCATTCTTTAAAAAAAAAAAATCAAACGAATTGAATTATTTATAGATTTCTTTGAGTTGCTTCATTTAGTTACGCCTGGATATGAGATGCTTTATTTTGTTCAATTAATCATTTAAAATTTAAAAAAAAACGATTTAACTATACTGGTTACAACTCACGACTAACCACGGTAAATGTACCCCCCCAAACCCCCCAAACACACTTTTTTCCCCATTAATGCACCGCTAAAAATGTACAAACTGTCTGCTTATTATAAAGTTATTGTCAAACTTAACAATAACTATTGGTAATGGTAATGTTTAATATTATATAAATAAACTTAAAAGCTCCCAAAAATAAACGTTGAATTTGGGTAATAAAAAAAGGGTTAAATAATGTTCGTAACGAGAGTCCTAGAGGTCTTCCCAGCATACCATTGGTCAGTTTCTAGAAGTCTTCCTAGCATACCATTGGTCAATTCATAGAAGTCTTTTGCCAGCATACCATTGGTCAGTTTCTAGAAGTCTACACAGTACTCCATTGATCAATTCCTAGAAGACTTTTTCCAGCATACCATTGGTCAGTTTCTAGAAGTCTACACAGTACTCCATTGATCAATTCCTAGAAGTCTTTTCCCAGCATACCATTGATCAATTCCCAGAAGACTTCCCAGTACTCCATTGATCAATTCCTAGATCCATCAAAACTAAATAAACAACTCCAACGTTTAATCCACCCTTGACAGTGTCCAATGACAAAACCCTTTTTAAACCTAAAGCCCCAAGATACCCCCCCCCCTTTTTTTTTCCTCCCAACTGATTCTAAGTCGTCCAGGGAGAAGCAACGCACTCATTAGAAAGAACGAATTTTAACACCAATGGTCAATAGAGATAACCCATGGGTAGCCTCAGCCGTAATCTGAACTTAAGGATTTGAGGTAATGCTCTCCCCTTACCCGGCAGGGGGTGGTTGCGGGGGTGTATACTTTGTTCGGTTCTCAGGTCGACATCATTAGCTCCCGAAGATCCAAAAAAAAAAAAAAAAAAAAAAAATTAAAACATTAAATCTAATGATGGATAGTGTTAAAAACCAAACATTTTTTTCTTTCCATAACTCTCCCTAGGTCAACTGTTGCGTGCGATGAACAAAACCGAGCAGTGGGTTTGACAGTCGAGGCCTCCGCCATCTTGAGGGAGACCTCTAACCCCGGCTACGTCTTACCCGACCCCGAACTGGACGACAGGCCCAGGACGAGAGTGGCCGCCATGCTGCACACACTCCACGCACCCCAGTCCGGGAGATCCAAGCGTCAGGCTCTACAGACCATGGGTATCCCGACACCCGGGGCCGCCATTGGTAAATATCACGTGATCGTCAATGTTGTTTATAAACAAAACAAACTTAAAGGCTTTTCTTGCAGATCCCAGCTGCCTGCCTTTGACGCTTTTTGGGCGGTTAAATGTGACTAAGAGACAGTGGCGTAACTAGGGTTGGTGCCACCGGGGCCGATCAAACTTTTTGACGCCCACTTCCACGAAATTAACTGCACTTTCCCTAAGATGCCACCCCACAATATAAAGAAAAACGTGCCGCCCGGGCGGACCCCCCCCCNGGTTGGTGCCACCGGGGCCGATCAAACTTTTTGACGCCCACTTCCACGAAATTAACTGCACTTTCCCTAAGAAGCCACCCCACAATATAAAGAAAAACGTGCCGCCCGGGCGGACCCCCCCCCCCGCGCCCTCCAACGAAACTTTTCAGTGAATGACTCTAGCGGAACTTCCTATTGGGTTGTAGACAATATACTTTGGCTTTGCTCATCCTTTCCCAACGTGGAGGCTTGTGCTGTCGCCCATAGGGAGGAGATGAGTATTACCTCCTGCCACTTTGTTGCCAAGATCAGGGGCGAAACGGCTGTCGAGGAAGAGATCCTGTATACATAGAGTTTATAGTCAATTTCTTTGGTGGGATTCACCCAATAAAAGCTGCATATCTATGAATGGCAACTCTAAACATGATCCATCTAGCGTGCAGTGGCCGGACACACCCAAGCCCATCTAGCGTGCTGTGGCCGGACACACCCAAGCCCATCTAGCGTGCAGTGCCGGACACACCTAAGCCCATCTAGCGTGCAGTGCCGGACACACCCAAGCCCATCTAGCGTGCAGTGCTGGACACACCTAAGCCCATCTAGCGTGCAGTGCCGGACACACCTAAGCCCATCTAGCGTGCAGTGCCGGACACACCCAAGCCCATCTAGCGTGCAGTGCCGGACACACCTAAGCCCATCTAGCGTGCAGTGCCGGACACACCTAAGCCCATCTAGCGTGCAGTGGCCGGACACACCCAAGCCCATCTACCGTGCACTGCCGGACACACCTAAGCCCATCTAGCGTGCAGTGCCGGACACACCCAAGCCCATCTAGCGTGCAGTGGCCGGACACATCCAAGCCCATTTAGCGTGCAGTGGCGGACACACCCAAGCCCATCTAGCGTGCAGTGGCCGGACACACCTAAACCCATCTAGCGTGCAGTGACCGGACACACCCAAGCCCATCTAGCGTGCATTGGCCGGACACACCTAAGCCCATCTAGCGTGAAGTGCCGGAAACACCCAAGCCCATCTAGCTTGCAGTGGCGGACACACCTAAGCCCGCCTAGCGTGCAGTGCCGGACACACCTAAGCCCATCTAGCGTGCAGTGGCGGACACACCCAAGCCCATCTAGCGTGCAGTGGCCGGACACATCCAAGCCCATTTAGCGTGCAGTGGCGGACACACCCAAGCCCATCTAGCGTGCAGTGGCCGGACACACCTAAACCCATCTAGCGTGCAGTGACCGGACACACCCAAGCCCATCTAGCGTGCATTGGCCGGACACACCTAAGCCCATCTAGCGTGAAGTGCCGGAAACACCCAAGCCCATCTCGCGTGCAGTGGCGGACACACCTAAGCCCGCCTAGCGTGCAGTGGCGGACACACCCAAGCCCATCTAGCGTGCAGTGGCGGACACACCCAAGCCCATCTAGCGTGCAGTGGCCGGATACACCCAAGCCCATCTAGCGTGCAGTGCCGGACACACCTAAGCCAATGCGGCAGTACACGGGGACGATAGACTTAGAATAAAAAATTTTAAGACGAAAATGACACGAATAAACAAGAAATGGAGAGATTGAACACGACATAATTGAATCAACATAAATAATATAAAATCTGCCAAGGATCCAGGGTTCAATAATCTTAGGAGGATGCCTAGGATGTATGCAGCAGCTGCCTGCCTCACCCCCTTTTCTTTTCCCGCACGCACACACACACACACGCACACACATACACAAACACACACACACATGTGTTATCACATACATCAAAGCGGATCCTAACCAAAAAGAAAACTAACACGCTATGATCAGACGGGCAGGGTCGTCCTAGCGCACAACTATTATAACAGTTGTTGGCGAAAACGAGTGTACAAAGCATAAAAGCTGTTGTAGAAAAAAATATGTGGACAAATAGAGGACCACGCCACCGGAAAAAGCCGAAACAATTAGCAGGATAAAATGTTTGTTACTTCAGATCTTTAGATAGCCGTTTGAGTATTTTGAAGTAAAGTTCATCACTTCCTGACGTATTTTATTTTAATGTCATGATTATGTTTCTTTTGAATTTTTTTTTATGAACAGCGCGGTGAGTCCAGCCCTAGGCTGGGGTACCGCGCTATATAAGACATCTTATTATAATTATTATTATATACTTTACGTCACCTTTGTTTTGATTTAATTATTGTTATTATTATTATTATTATTATTATTTTTATTATTTTTAAAATTTTCTTTTGTGTTACACCTGTTCACGTGATAGCTCTCTTCGTATTTCAGAAACAATCAACGTCACCCTACCGGAGCGCGTCTGCGAGCGCATCGACTCCGAGACCGCCGTAATTGAGGCCCTGATGAACGCCCTGCTCCTGTCCGAGGCCGGCTGCAAGGACCTGACCTGCGGCCTCCCGCTGTTCCACCTCTACTGCGACGGCGAGGACGACTTCGTGGAGGACGCCCCCAGGAACGCCACGTCCGCAGCATCCACGAACATCGACGGCGCCATCCCCGCTTCCGCCGCCGCCAGCAGCACGAACGTCGGCAACTCCACACTCTACGGGCCCGCCCACGTCTTCGGGGTTTTTGAGACTTCTGCCAACACCGGAAGTGACGGAGTTTCTGCCGCACAGCCCGCACCGAGGGAGGCTGACGGGACTAATTAGGTCACCCCATGGAAAACATTGATGCTATTTATTACATTATTAATTTTTTGATTTATCCTGAGTGGATATATTGATTTCAGCTACAATTATAATGAATTATTTTAAGTTACAGGGGCTTCATCTCACTTTTAAACAGTTTAGACCCATAAATAGACGACATTTAAATATATATATATATATATATATATATTTATATATACAACTTTAGATTGACGTTTACAAGCTTGGAATCCGTATTTATTCCTGTTGAAAATGCCCTAATATTGAAAAGCTAAAGAAATATCTATAAATAACCAGCAAGGCCTCGCGTGACAAAACTAGCTGCGATTTCGGACGTAGCATGGGAAGGAACCTTGAACTTGGAAACCCAGCTGCCATAACTTACACCGCTGTAACCATCAAAACGCGAGCTTTTTTTTTTTAAAAAAAGTTTCTCTAACATAAACACCTTCATTTGACTTACAGATACTACGTAAATAGCGTTTAAAATAATCAACAGGGATTTTTTTTTTTGGGTCATCTCTTGTTAAAGTGTAAAGGAAAAAAGAAAGCTTTGTTCTGTGACTTATTGTATGTTCTTAAAAAACCCAAATTCCATTGGTGGGTTCAATGCGTTCATTACATGGTTGCTATGGTAGCGGTGTCACGGGAAGTAAACATAAAAATAAATGGCAAGTATCGCTAAAATAAGTTTCTTTATTTTTTATTATTAAAAAAAATAAAGGATATTAGGCGAACGGTCAATAAAATAAAGGCTAAATCTTTTGTGTGTGTGTGTTAGCACTGCTTTTTTTGTTGTTACGTTCCATGAATCTGCAATGTAAATAGGAAGCATGGCCTTATAACGTTTTTATACAGAGATTACACGTAGCTGTCAAGTATTGCCGTGTCCAGCTTGGATTGTTGTAGTTAATTTAGTTGTTGTTGTTGCTGAAATAAAAAAAGTTTAAGTGAATAAAAATTGATTTGTTTTTGTAGTTCTTTGAACGAAATTAAAGGCTGCGGTGAATATAGGACAGCTTTGGTGTGCGTATGTGTATGCAATAAAAGACGCAGTCGTTGCAACACGTGCCCTTTTGTCGTCCAGACTCAACACATACGTTTCCCCAAGGGCAGTTTTCAGATACGCGACGGTTTCCTCTGTACTAGCCGCAACGTTATCTACGCCAATTGTCTGCAACCGCTGTCAGATGACGTACATAGGGGAGACTGGACGCCGTCTCTCAGACAGGTGTACCGAACACCTCCGAAACATTACACAAGATAAACAGTGTCCCGTCTCAACACTTCAATAGTAGTGACCACCAGGGCAAGGCGGACTTTTCAATAAGTGCGATTGTGGCTAGCACGAACACCGCCAGCCGGGTCAATTTGGAACACAGACTTATCCTGACTTAGGGCACTTTGACGCCAGATGGGATTAATGTTATGTCTCTGTTCACAGATTGACCCTAGCTCCGCCCCTCCACGTCTGACCTATCACAGTGAACTTTTTTCTCCCACTTTTTTTTCGCTGCTGCATATTTAAACTCTCACTCACTTTCCTTCTGCCACACTTCTAGTGCTGCCCACAGATACTACTTACCAGCTAAGTGCTATTTCTTATTTTTATTTTTATACCGTTTTTTCTGTTGTTTTGTTCGCTGACGAAGGCTTTCTGCCCACACGTTCGCTGTTTTGTTGCGTTTATTGTTTCAGGTTTAACCCTACTCTGTTTTACTCATTTTATTTTGCAAGAGACAGAGAAAGATAGATAGATAGAGAGAGAGAGAGAGAGAGAGAGAAAGATAGAGAGAGGGAGATAAAGAGAGAGAGCAAGAGAGGAGGTGGAAATAAATAGAGGGAGAGTGTGAGAGAGAGATAGATATAGGAGAGAGAGAGTTGGATAAATTAAAAAGAAAGAGAGAGTGGGAGGGAAAGGGCAAGAGAGAAGGCGGAGACAGTTTGAAGGAGGGGAGAGAGAGGACTCAAATATCTTTGTTAGAAAGTGTTAACACGGCGCCGACGTTGCCTCAGCACACGGAATCTGTTGTCTGTGGGACGCCGCCCCTGCAACTAAAGTGGAAAAACGAGCGAACAAAATGGACGGCTCCAACTTGTTAAGACTCGCCCAAACATCGCGTGAATTCGAACGAAATTAATTTTGCACATCAGAAGAATTTTGTTGTTTAGAAATACACGGTCAATCGTGTCCGGGGACAATTGAAATGTCCGTGTTCAAGTGGTGACGTCAGTTAGTGTTTGAAGTGCTAAATAAATATTCTTTTTTTTTTTTGACATGGCTTTTATTCCAATCGTTATGCTTTGTTTGTTTCGAGCCTTATAACTCTGTGAACTGATTCCAACTTTTTTTTTTACGGACTACCAGTTCCGTACAGTTTAGTTACCGCGCTATCTGGTGTCAAAACGAAGATTGATGAAACGAATAAATACACACAAAGAATGCTCTTTAAACAATGTTTTGTATTGAGCCTGATTGAACTGTAAAAATCAGGTCGGTGAACTAAATCAGCGGTTCCCAGATTGTTTCCAGTCGAGTTGTTTTTTTTTGTTGTTTTTTTCCCGTGTGCTGCATCCTGGTTTTACCAGAGCACAGAGGCGTAGCGATGGTGTTTGGCGCCAGGGGACAAGATTCGCGCCCGGGGACAAGATTCATTTTTAAGCGCCCCCCTTTTTTTTTTTTCAACTCTCAAACCCATTATTGTCATCAATAAAATAATATCAAAGCACATTTTGGCGCCCCTAACTAGCTGGCACCCGGGGACATCTGCCCCCCCCCTATCGCTACGCCTCTGCCAGATCAGCCTATGTGAAATTCTAACAAGTTGACCGCGAAATAGTGAATTTTAAAACGAAATTATTCTTCAATTCGTGGCGCCCCTGCGAGGAAGCCGCGACTACACATGACACCGCGGCGCACAGTTTGGGGAACCCCTGAGCTAAATTGTCATCTTGTTGTCACTGGTGGGGCCTTAACATTCGTCTATGCTTCAATTCAGCTCGCAACGTTGAAATGTTTGGAGAGAATGGATAACAAAAAAAAGCTGACACTTAATTGTTGTGTTTTATATTACTTCATTCTCAGAATTTATTGTGTGCAACAATAAAAAAAAATTAAAAATAACGAAACTAACGCCCAGCAACCTCCTTGGCATACGCTCCTGTTGGAAACACGCCCCAGTTGGAACACGCTCCAGGTGGAACCCGCCCAAGTTGGAACACGCCCCAAGTCGGAACACGCCCCAAGTTGGAACACGCCCCAAGTTGGAACACGCCCCAGTTGGAACACGCCCCAGTTGGAACACGCCCCAGTTGGAACAC